CACACTCACACCTAGGGACAATTTTGAGTCTTCAATCAGCCTGCCATGCATGTTTTTGGAATGTAGGAGGAAACCGGAGTACCCGGAGAAAACCCACATGGGCACGGGGAGAACATGCAAACTCCACACAGGAAGGCCGGAGCTGGAATCGAACCCGGTACCTCTGCACTGTGGGGTTGACGCCCTAACCACTCATGACTTTTTTTTTTTGCATGTTTTTGTACTTGAAAATGCCGCTCCATTGGAAAATTAAACAAATGCTAAAAGAAACAATCGTGTAAAACAATCAGCCTGTAATCCATTCATCCATTGTTGTTGAAAGCGTTACGGGACCAAAAAATAGATTTTTACAAATAATCTGACGATTAATCGCAGATTGAAAATATTGGAATCGGCATCGGTCTCAAACGATCTATATCGGTCGAGCCCTACATTTCCCAACAACTGTCATGCTGTACACGTATGAGTTATAATACTGCAGTGCAGATAAGGCAAGTCACAAATGTGTTCACACAACCACACTGGAGTATGCTCCATCCCATCTCAGTATGCTGACAGCACCTTTTTGTCGTTTTCTCCGTTTTCTACAACAGCAGCAGCACAGTATGCACATGAGAGCACCAGTCCAATTTGTCACGCGTTGTAGTCACACGAGTTTGCCCAAACTCTTGCGCTCTTCCTGCCTCAGAGTCAGCATTGACATTTTTAATATTTAGGTGTCAAAAGGGTTGCGACATTACACTATTTTCACAAATGAAAGCTTTCAGCGGGAATTTATAGAAATGACAAGAGTAAACCAGGAATTTAAAAAAAATGGAAGGTTCACTCCAAAGCTTGATCTTAAATGTTTCATGCATCTATAGCATGCATCTATTCATCACCCAGTAGCTCTAATGATACACTTCCAATACATTCTCCGCAATTCCCATGGGAACTTCCTATTTACGATATTTAAAATATATATATATATATATATATTCTGTATTTGCTCTCCCGTTAATCACCGCTCCACTTACTCCCTTAGTGCCTCCTGTGATTGAGGGCAACAGTGAAATAGTCGAGGAATTGACCACAGTCCTTGACAGCTCAGTCAACATCAAGTGTGTGGCAACCGGATCTCCTGCGCCACAGCTTAATTGGCTCAGAAATGGCCTCCCCCTTCCACTGTCCTCACATATACGTCTTCTCTCTGCAGGCCAGATGCTCCGGTAGGTCTGCGGACGGGGCTAGGTTCAGAATGGCAGCTCTGGACATCCACTTTGTTATTGTATACAGTTGTAGTACGAAATAGTGCAAAATAAAAAATATATCACGTGCCATAACGGCACGAGCAGGAGCGCAATGTCTACTGCCTGTGCAAACACCTGTTGTGAACTATTTCATGCCTTTTTTGTATAGGCACTGTCTTGCATGCCCTAAATGCAACTGCATTGTTGTGTGCAGCTGAAACTCTCATCTCATCCCCTTTATGAAGTCATTTGTGGTTGTATTATGCAAATCCACATCAGCTAGTTACAATAAAATGGACTTGGAAACACAGGAGCAGACAATTACACAGTCCAAAATAAATAAATAAAAATAAAGGACTATATAGGTAAATAAAAGTCAGTGACAAAGATAGAATTATATAATGTTATATATACAATGACCCAGAAAAATGATTCTAACTGTACATGGTGAATGTGTCACCCAGGATTTCACGCACCCAAGTATCTGATGGTGGCACCTACACTTGTGTCGCATCAAATAGAGCAGGAGTTGACAACAGACATTACAACCTACATGTGAATGGTGAGTCTGACATGCGATCAGGTTTGATAGTCTTTCAGTGCATTCTTTTGATATTCAGATATTCATGTTCAACATTTCATATTTCATTTCCAAGATGGTAACTAAATATTCTCAGTCATTTCATAAGACCATCCCTGGTATGTGATTGCAAGAGCTTGTTTCCCTGAGGAGCCAGTTGTTCCTGATAATTAATGTTTAAAGGCGTCTTATTCAAGTGAGCTCCATTTTTTGATGTGTGGTAAATGTTGTGTTATAAAAGATGGCATATTTTTCAATTTGTATCAGATGTATTGTCAAGGCAACATATTTATTTATATGCCTGAGAATTAAATGTTAAAATTAATGAGACGAAGGAAAATGGTCTTCATACAATAATCAGTTCTGTTACATTCTTTTGGAGGTCATCATCAAGCCGTATGAGTGAGGGGGGTACTCATGTTATGACGAAAGGGGGTTTACAAGTAAAAAAGGTTGGGAACCACTGCTCGATACTCTTCACACATTTTTTTTTTCACTCAGTCCCCCCAGTTCTGGATGGAGCAAGGAGCACGGTTGACGTGATTGTAGTTCGAGGAAACCCGGCTTCTCTGCTGTGTTTAGCGGACGGAACCCCAACCCCATCTGTCGCCTGGCTCAAAGAGGGGCGATATCTGTCAAATGACACCCAAGTGAGACTACTGAACCAAAATACAACAATGCAGTTCCTCCAGGCTGAAGTCAGCAACACAGGACACTACACCTGTATCGCTAGCAACACAGCGGGTCAAGCAAGCCGTCACTTCAACTTGAAAGTTCTTGGTGAGTGGAAATCAAATCTTAGGACTTTTAACGTCTCTCTCCACCTTTTAAATTGTGGTTGGGATGTCTGTTAACTTTTCTTTTCAGAACCTCCGCAAATCAAGACATCAGGTGTACCGGCAGATGTTTCTGTGGTGGTTAATAGTATAATGGAGCTTCAGTGTGAGGCCTCGGGTATTCCTCCACCCTCCTTGACATGGTTGAAGGATGGACGTCCACTTCCACAAACTGCCAGCGTTCGACTCCTTCAAGGAGGAAAAGTGCTCCGCGTGGCCTCAGCACAGGTCACAAATTCCATTATTCTTTAAGAAGTACTCTGCTTGGGTCGGCCTAAACTATTACAAAGTAATAACATCAGACATCTGCTCAAATGTTAAATCAGTTGGAGGACATGGGCAGATACAACTGCTTAGCCAACAGTCCAGCAGGCGATGATGACAAAGAATTCTTAGTGCGAGTGCACGGTGAGTAACATAGATATGTATCCAGTGTAAATGATGGTAGCTTCATTCTGTAAAATGTATCAAGCTTTGTTTTTTGTTATCAGTTCCCCCTAACATTGCGGGGGAGAGCACTCCTGAAGAGGTTTCCGTGCTGCAGAATAGACAGGTGACTCTGGAATGCAAGTCTGATGCTGTTCCACCTCCAACTCTAAGCTGGCTCAAAGATGGTCAACCATTGCAGGTCAAGAAAATCAGACAAATATTTTTCTATTCGATGCAATGATTTCTCCTGAGTTGCCTCAATGACTTTTGACCATTGTGTAGGTGTCTGCGCGTGTGCGTGTTCTCTCAGAAGGCCGCTACTTACAGATCAACATGGCTGGGCTCAGTGACAAGGCTCAGTATACCTGCATGGCCAGTAACATCGTTGGCAGGACCACACGCGAATTTAACCTGAATGTCAATGGTAAATGTATCGGTATTTATTAGCGTGTAGACCAGGGATGTCAAACTCATTTTTGTCGCGGGCCACATTGTAGTTACGGTTTCCCTTGGAGGGCCGTTATGAATTTTGGTTATTATCCAGGATTCACTTAGGCCACTTAAAAAAATAAAAATAAATAAAATTTAAAAAAGAATAGTTTTGCTAGTATTATGTGATGATACAGTTGCAAATGACCTTGCAGGTGCCCATATTGTAACATGAGATATTTACAAAGAAAGACGGCACACAGGCGGCCGTTAGAAAAGTCTTTATATAAGCCGCTTCATGAAATAGGCCGCAGAGTTGAAAGCGTGTGACAAAAGTCGCTGCTTATAGTCCGGAAATTACGGTAAATGTTTAACCCACTCCACATTTCCCCTGCTATTCTGGAGGGATAGGGACCAAACCTCGCAGCGTAAAAATATGTGTGAGTAATTGCCAGCTCTCAAAAACAACTATACTGACACACGACAGCAACAAAATACTACATTCAGTTTTTCAACTGCTATGACATACTGAAGTTCCGTTGGCACCAAGATTCCACAAGATGGTGGCAAAGCACTCCATTCAGACCCTCATTCACTTCAACATACAGTAGAGTTCCTTGGCACAAAGATGGCGCAAGAAACCACAATACCGTTGTATAAGACAGGGCTGTGGCTGGATCACAAAAAAATGGAGATTCCCAAACCATGAATATGCAAGGTTTACTATACAGTAGTCCCATATACAGTAATTCTTTTCAGTATCGTGCACGGCATACGACCTAATAAGAACTTTACTGTCACGTTGCGAGGTGGTGGTGGACCCCAAAAAGCAGGCAGGAGTGAGGAGCAGGGTGTACTTAAAGAAGTGTATTGACAAAACACAGAAAACTAAATCCTAAACAAACAAAGTACTAACAACAAAACGAATCCAAAGTATCAAACAAAACCATGACTGAAGCTCAAAAAAACTAGAACAGAACCATGACAGAAACATGACCGGAACAAACATGACAGTAGCAAATAAACAAACAAACAGCAACAATGACCCGACACCAAGTGTTCGGGTTGGGAGTCCTTTTAAAGCACTAATTACAAAATGACCAACAGGTGTGCAGCTGCAGGGAGAGCCCTACAGTGCCACCTGTTGGTCCCAAACAGAATCATCATGACATTTACTTCCTGTTTTGGCATTTGTAGGTTGCTCACATTGTGTGGCTCACACACTTGTCTGAACAACAGAAAACTCGAGCCCAAGCGATCATAGGCTTTATAGTTAGGTAACAGAGAAATAGACCACCTACCACAGGCTATTAGCTAGTACATCAATCAGTAAAAGAGCCACTCAAAGGTAAGCTAGGCTCATTTACAAATTATGGTGTGGTATGGTAAGGCATTTAATTTATTGCCCTCTCGTGTATCATTTAACTAGTCCCTTAATGATCATGTTAACAATGTCTGAAACTCTATCACATCTATTATGTAAACTACAGTGGTGGTAAAGAAGCTTAATATCATTTGAGGCATTTAGCCATGTTTTTCAATTGTTCTGCCTGGGTCAAATGACGTGTAAGGTTTTGTGCACTAGTGGTACAATCAGAAAATGCTTCATCTTTTGCCACCTGGAAGAATGTATGATGTTGTCTGCAATTGGTAGAAGAGTGGTTAAAAGAAACGGTATCATAAATGTTTCAATAAAAGCACGGCAAATTCTTCCTTCAGTGGCCCCAACAATCAAAGATGGCCCTCAGACGGTGGCAGTTCGTATCAATGAGCCAGTTGTGCTTGAGTGTGTTGTAAGCGGTGTACCAGCACCTCAGGTCACATGGAGGAAACACGGAACCACATTGGCCGGAAATAACTCCAGGTACAGAAAAACTCTTCTTTCTTTGAACTGAAAAATGTGTCATTTAAAAAATATATATATTATTATTATTAATGTTTTAATTCATGTGTGTGCAGGTACACATTTATGGAGGATGGCTCGTTACACATCCACTCTGCACAGGTGACCGACACCGGCCGCTATTTGTGTATGGCAACAAACCCGGCTGGGACGCAACGCAAGAGAGTCGACCTTGAAGTATATGGTGGGAAACAAACATGCAACGACATCATAAATGAGTCCATTTAACTATGTCCATCAGCCAGCAAACTAAAACTAAAATATTCTTCTCTGCACTTATCTTTCAGTGCCTCCCTCCATCCTTGATGGACGCACCAATGTGACGGTTACAGTAAATGTTCAAACCACCCTTGCTTGTGAGGCCAGTGGCATACCCAAGCCCTCTGTGATCTGGATGAAAAATGGCCGAGCAATCAATACTGACCAGAACCAGAATATGTACAGGTTGATTCAGGTTTTTCCATCCCTCTGTTTTATTATCCAGGATTCACTTAGGCCACTTAAAAAAAAATAAAAATAAATAAAATTAAAAAAAGAATAGTGTTGCTAGTATTATGTGATGATGCAGTTGCAAATGACCTAACAATACAGTGTTCCCCTGCTATTCTGGAGGGATAGGGACCAAACCTTGCAGCGTAAAAATATGTGTGAGTAATTGCCAGCCCTCAAAAACAACTATACTGACGCACGACAGCAACAAAACACTACATTCATTTTCAACTGCTATGACATACTGAAGTTCCGTTGGCACCAAGATTCCACAAGATGGTGGCAAAGCACTCCATTCAGACCCTCATTCACTTCAACATACAGTAGAGTTCCTTGGCACAAAGATGGCACAAGAAACCACAATACCGTGATATAAGACGGGGCTGTGGCTGGATCACAAAAAAATTGAGATTGCCAAACCATGAATATACAAGGGTTTAATATAGTTCCATATACTGTAATTCTTTTCAGTATCATGCATGGCATACGACCTAATAAGAACTTAACTGTCATGTTGCGACGTGGTGGTGGACCCCAAAAAGCAGGCAGGAGGGAGGAGCAGGGTGTACTTCAAGAAGTGTATTGACAAAACACAGAAAACTAAATCCTAAACAAACAAAGTACTAACAACAAAACGAATCCAAAGTATCAAACAAAACCATGACTGAAGCTAAAAAAAAAACTAGAAGAGAAACATGACCGGAACAAACATGACAGCAGTAGCAAATAAACAAACACAAACAAACAGCAACAATGACCCAACCATGAGTGGTCGGGCTGGGAGTCCTTTTAAAGCACTAATTACAAAATGACCAACAGGTGTGCAGCTGCAGGGAGAGCCCTACAGTGCCACCTGTTGGTCCCAAACAGAATCATGACATTTACTTCCTGTTTTGGCATTTGTAGGTTGCTCACATCTGGCTCTCTGGTAGTGATAGCACCCACAGTGGAGGACACAGCTTTGTATGAGTGTGTTGTCTCCAACGAGGCAGGGAAAGATGCCAGATCCATCAATCTTACGGTCCAAGGTGAGTGCCATCATGATTCTTTCCATTTTTATACTTATCACTCTCCATACAATATTTTACAGCCAATCTAAAGTCGACATAATTTCAGTTGCGGGTTTAACTGCTGTTGTCTTCTTAGTTCCTCCATCAATAGCTGACGAACCCACCGACCTAGTTGTCACTAGGTTGTCCCCAGTGGTCATTGCCTGTACTGCCTCAGGCATCCCAGATCCCACAATTCATTGGAGCAAAGATGGCGTCAAGATGCTCGACCTGGGACATGGATATAGAATCTTGCACACAGGTTAGTGATGTAAAGTTTTGTTTGTTTGTTTTTTTTTGTGATGCATTTGCAAAAGCCTTAGTTTCCTCAATGGATTTTGGAAGTGTACCTCATATGGGTTATTATATGGTGACTGTATAGCAGTGATTAATCACACTGATTTGAAATATTGTATTGTGTACAGGTCAAGTAGAAATAAGCTCAGCTGAGCTCAGTCACGCAGGACGCTATTCATGCACAGCGAAGAATACTGCAGGCTCTACACATCGTCATGTGCAGCTCACTGTACAGGGTAAGAGGGAGGTTTGTAGGTTTGGAGCAAATTAGTTTTGCTTGTATCTTCAGACATGACTCATTTCTTTTTCCATATGCTTTTAAATACTACAATGATGTAAAATGTTCATCTTTCTATTTTCGTAGAGCTTCCTGTGATCCATTCGCACCCATCCTCCCTGGAAGTGATCCTCAATAATACCATCGTGCTTCCCTGCAGGGCCACAGGCTCACCAAGGCCGACAATCACCTGGCAGAAGGAGGGCATCAATATACACACCACAGGTAACCACTTTGTTTATGTCTGTGTCTTTCGATCATCTCGCGTGCTCACTTGTGAAAGGAAAGTCTCATGTTTTTCGATAGGTGGAAGTTTCACGGTGCTACCTCATGGGAGTCTACAGATCACCAAAGCGTCTGTGTCCAACTCTGGAACTTATATATGCGTGGCTCAAAACCCAGCGGGTACAGCCCTGGGCAAGACCAAACTTAGAGTACAGGGTAGGTACGGCGTAGTCTGGTAACTGTTATTTCAACAGCTCAAGTTCTTTGCTAACTCATTCACTTATTGATTGATTGATTTATTGATTGATTGATTGATTGATTGATTGATTGATTGATTGATTGATTGATTGATTGATTGATTGATTGATTGATTGATTTGTTTGTTTGTTTGTGTGACAAACCAACAAAAAAAGACAATAAAACACTCATAAATATGGAAATAAAACAACATCCAGAAAAATGACAAGACCATTAAATTTTAGTATTCAAAAGTGTGTAAACAGAAAAAAACCTGCAGTTGAATGCAGCCACTCAGCTGTTTATGGACTTGCTGACTTGCAACCACTAAATAGCCACGAACTTAGAGTACAGGGTAGGTACGGCATAGTCTGGTAACTGTTATTTCAACAGCTCAAGTTCTTTGCTAACTCATTCACTTATGGATTGATTGATTGAAATGATTGGTTGATTGGTTTGTTTGTTTGTGCGACAAACCAACAAAAAAAGACAATAAAACACTCATAAATATGGAAATAAAACAACATCCAGAAAAATGACAAGACCATAAAATTTTAGTATTCGAAAGTGTGTAAACAGAAAAAACCTGTAGTCGAATGCAGCCACTCAGCTGTTTATGGATTTGCTGACTTGCAACCACTAAATAGCCACACTCGTTTTTTTCTGCTTTGTTGCCTTATTTGTTTTAAAATAGTTCATATTATATTCAGTAAATGGATATCTGATATAAGTGTTATCCTCCCCAGTACCTCCAGTCATCAGCTCAGAAACGCAAAATTATCTGGCTCCTGTGGACTCCTCCGTGACACTGCAATGTCAGTCAGATGGCATCCCTCCACCTTCTGTTACGTGGCACAAAGAAGGGCAGCCCCTCGGGGAATCTGTACGGCAACGCGTGCTCGGTTCAGGCTCCCTACAGGTCGCATTCATCCAGCCGGAGGATACGGGAATTTACACTTGCACCGCCGCCAATTCTGCGGGAACAACGAGCCTGGAGATGAGCCTGACTGTGCAAAGTGAGTTTTCGTAAATACAAACAGCTCCCTATCAACATATTGAGTTGTATTCATGGAATCATCGACTGATCATTAATAAATGTCCGCTTTGCAGTCCCCCCCTCCATTCTTGACTTAGAACCGGAAGTTGTAGTGGTGGAAAGTAATCAGGCCCAACTGGCATGTCTGGTGAAGGGCGTCCCACAACCGACGCTGTCCTGGCAGAAGGACGGTGTTCTTTTAGGAGTGGGAACTGGGGAGTACACCATTTTGCCCTCTGGGGAGCTTGTTATTGACGCTGCTCAGGTGAGGAGTATAACTCTGTCTTCAGTGTACATATAGTGGGTGTGTACTGTATACTCTCAGGTTAAAAAATAATAATCTCCCTCCTTTTTCACCAACTACACCAGCCTGGTGATGCAGGCAGTTACACATGTGTTGCCTCCAATGAATTGGGTCATGACAGTAGGACAGTGAGCCTGTCTGTTCATACCTACCCTGTCTTCACTGAGTTGCTTGGAGACATCTCCGTCAACAAGGGAGAGCGCCTCCTGCTGGACTGTGGAGTCAGTGGTATACCCCTGCCCAGGATCACATGGGCCTTCAACAACAACATCATTCCAGGTACATCCATTTATTTGCAAAACTACACTTCACAGGAAAACGTATTTAGGATGTATTTATTTATTTAGCATTTGTTCAGAAAAGACAATGTGAGTAAAGATAAAACGTTTCGGAAAAATCTGCTTCCGATTTGGTGGGAAGAATGAAATGAAACATTGAGTATAAGGCAGGACCTATAATCCAGCATCGCGATCTTCGAAATAGTATTCTGCAATTTACCCCAAAAAATGTTTTTGTCAATATTCCGAGAACGAAGGCAGCTGTTATAGCTGCAAATTCATATACAGTGAACCACCGCATGTTTGTGGCACCCACATGCCCGTCTATTCTATTCTCTTCTTTACAATGTTTTTTTTTTTTTCAGTGCAATCACAATAGGCCTAAATTATAAATGGATTTTTGCTAATCGCGGTCAGGCCACATTCTTATCCCCATGCGGTTCTTCAGTGCAATCACAATAGGCCTAAATTATAAATGGATTTTTGCTAATCGCGGTCAGGCCACATTCTTATCCCCCATGCAGTTCCACTGTATTTTGATTTAGTTCCTGTTTCTATGATAATAATAATAATATAATAATACATTTTATTTATAAGCGCCTTTCAAAACACCCAGGGACACTTTACAATCAGGAACAAGAACAATAAAACAAAATGCGGGATGAGTAGCGGCAGCCAAATGCGCCAGCGTTCACTCAACCCGGAAGTCAGAAAAAAACCTGATAACACATTTATTTCTGATAATCGACTTAACCAAAGTTGTGACTTGTGTTAAAAAAAACTCTTCGCGACCTTTGATGAGGATAAGATTTTTTTGTTTTACTTTTGTGAGATGTTATCTTCATTATTTCTGATAATCGACTTAACCAAAGTTGTGACTCTTAGCGACCTTTGATGAGGATAGGATTTTTTGTTTTACTTTTGTGAGATGTTATCTTCTTTTGAGTTTGTCATTCCTCCGACAATTTTGTAACATTGCCTCTGATGTATTGATGCTGCAGTTCACTATGATCACATGAGTGGCCACAGTGAGTTGGTGATAGAGAGAGTGAGTAAAGAAGATGCTGGCACTTATACCTGTGTGGCAGAAAACTCAGTTGGAAGCATCAAGTCTTTGGGTTTGGTAAATGTCAAAGGTAAGAAGACATTCGGCATCCTCCTCCAAATTGCAGCTTCAAACTTTACCATGACTGGTTTGGTAAATGTCAAAGGTAAGAAGACATTCGGCGTCCTCCTCCAATTGCTGCTTCAAACTTTACCATGACTTTTTTTTCTCTTGTTCTACATTCAGAGCCTCCCATCATTGATGGGGACCTTCACTCCAGTCGTATTGAACCGCTTGGCGGCAACGCCATCCTGAACTGTGACGTTCGGGGAGAACCACTTCCTACCATCCAGTGGAGCAAAAATGGAATAAACGTACACATCAACAACCGAGTCCGTCAACTGGACAACGGCTCTCTGGCCATCTATGGCACAGTGGTAGGAAAGCACTTTAGATCGTGCGTGTCTAATCCAATGTAACATTTCCTCAGATAAGGGCATATCTTTTTGACAAATTGTTTTTTAAATTGAATTTTTTACAGGTTGAAGATGCAGGCAACTATATTTGTGTGGCAACGAATGATGCTGGTGTTGTGGAAAGAAGTGTCACGCTAACCTTGCAGAGTAAGATCTGAGTAAAAGTCATTGACCCATCGAATCATGAGTGCTGAGAACTGCTTGCATCTGCATTATTTTCCAGGTGCGCCCACCATAATAGTAGAGCCTGTAACAACAGTGGTGGATGCGGGAACTACATTGGTCCTCAACTGCCGGGCGGAGGGTGAGCCTACCCCCATTATAGAATGGTCTCGCCAAGGGCGTCCTCTTTTAGGCCACGCCCACTTCACTACTCTATTTAATGGGTCCCTGAGGGTAAATAGTGCCCAGAAGGAAGACACAGCTGAATATGAATGTGTGGCAAGAAACTTACTAGGATCAGTCCTGGTTCGGGTTGGGTTAAATGTTCAAGGTAAACCCTTCTTCCGCCTGTAATACTCAAGGTCATACATAATTACAAAAAGTTAATCATTTGGAAACTGTTTTAGTTCACGGAGGCTACTCTGAGTGGGCTGAGTGGAGCCCTTGCAGTTTAACATGTGGGATTGGTTCTCAGAAGAGGCAGAGACAATGTAACAATCCTCTTCCTGCCAACGGTGGACGCCACTGTGCAGGATCAGGCACAGAGACGCGCAGTTGTCATGGGAAACCTTGTCCGGGTACGAAAACTGTTAACAGCTGGCAATGGTGGGTGTTACATGCAAGACTTGAGGATTCATACATTTCAATCTCTAGTTGATGGGAAATGGTCAGAGTGGTCTTCGTGGGAGGAGTGCTCTCGTTCATGTGGTCATGGTAACAGAACAAGGGTGCGGACCTGCAGTAATCCTTCAGCTCAGCACAGAGGCAGGCCATGTGAAGGAAGTGCTGTTGAAGTCATCGTGTGCAGTGTCCAGCCTTGCCCAGGTAGGAGAACAAATGTTCTTTCGCTAAAGGTAACACGATACTTAGTGGCGATACTACTTAATATTATCTAATGATGGTCTACCAAGATCCAAATTCTGCCTCTGCACAGTTAATAATGCTCAGTTTTTACATTTTTTATTCCACACCAGCAATTTTTTTTTCCAAGTTTAGGATTATCTGTTACAGTGTAGGCCTCCTGTGAAGTTCTGACTCTGTTTTCACTGCCGCAGTGGCAGGTGGCTGGGGGCCTTGGCTTCCTTGGAGCCCATGCAGTGAGACCTGTGGTAGGGGTATGCAGTCAAGAATCCGTCTGTGCAATGACCCTCCGCCTGCATTTGATGGCTCACCTTGTGAAGGAACAGACGCACAAACACAAGTGTGCAAGGAGAGACCATGTCCTGGTAAGCTTTGTTGATTTCATGATATGTAAGAGTGAAATCTTTTTTCAGCCATGTACTGTCACGAACTTACAGTAAATGATTCTATTCCCTAGTGGACGGGAAGTGGTCATCGTGGGTGAGCTGGGGAGCCTGCAGCGTTTCCTGTGGGGGTGGCACCAGACAGAGAGCGCGTCTCTGTGCCAGCCCTGGCCCACAATATGGGGGCAGGCAGTGTGAAGGGAACGACATACATGTTGACTTTTGTAATAGCGAGCCCTGCCCTAGTGAGTAATCACCAATTTAGCTCTGTGGACATAGTTACGTGTGTCTTGTGGTTAACTGTTGCATCCTTTCGTGTCTTTCATATTCTGTCCATCAGTCAATGGGAACTGGGGTCCATGGGGCAGCTGGGGCAGTTGCAGCAAGACGTGCAATGGAGGGCAGATGAGGCGCTACAGGACATGTGACAACCCCAGGCCAGCCAATGGTGGCAGAGCGTGTGCGGGCACGGATGCACAAATACAAAGATGTAACACAGCCATGTGCCCTGGTGCGTGTTTTTAACTTGCGTAGAATATGGTGTAGGCTTGTATACTGAATAGCATTCCGTGATTGTAGGACAAGCAAGCTCTTTCAGAGGGTGTCTATTCATGAGGTGATGAGGTTCGTGTGAATCTGTTTTGTGTTATTGCAGTTGATGGTAATTGGGGACCATGGCAGTCTTGGGGAGAATGTACTGCTTCCTGTGGGGGTGGAGAAAGGACACGCGTGCGCCTCTGTAATACCCCATCACCTAGTAACGGAGGCCGCCTGTGCCCAGGAGACTCCTCCCAACTATCCAGGTGTAATGTTGAGGCCTGTCCAGGTAAGCCATGTGGCTATACAATGCATCTTGTTGCAATGATGTACTAAAAGCAATTTTAAATATTGTTTCTCTTTGCCAGGTGGGCCACAGATGGCACGAGGAAGCATTATCGGGAATATCAATGATATTGACTTCGGCATTGCCATACTGAATGCTACTGTCGTGGACTCCACGTCTGGTGGCAAACTCATCAAAGCATCTATTTCAAATATACCAAGATCATTAGGTAAGTTATAGAAAGACTAAACCAGCGGTTCTCAACTGTTCTCACCCCTGGGACCCGCGTTTTCCTGTTGTGGCAAAGGCATGACCCATTTTATCGAAGTTATGAAAAACAAAAAGTTTTTTTTGTTGTTGTTGTTTAGCCTCTGAAATTACACATACCCGTTGTTACGTTTTGAAATGCAGTTTCAAATAAGTTTGACATACTGTACTGCCAAAAGTATATTGCCAGCTATGACATCCGTTAGCCAAATGCTGAGCTGCACTCTAATTGTTTACAGAGTAGCAAGTGTCTAGAGGACAAGTGAATAACATTTTCTGACGCTTCCCCAATATTTTATGATCTCTGTGGAAACTTGCTATGCCTCAGCACTGTTTTTAAGTAGCTACCCGCGACCCACCCAAGATTAGTCCAGGACTCACTCTTGGGTCCCAACCCACCAGTTGAGAATCACTGACTTGAACTGTCATGTTACTTGAGACATGCCAAATTAAAAATGTCTCTGTCCTCTGACTTTCATTCAAGGGCCTTCAATGAGGAAGCTCATTTCCATTCTGAATCCCATCTACTGGACAACTGCACAGGAAGTAGGAGAGGCTGTCAATGGGTACACGTTGACTGGAGCTATCTTCAAGCGAGAAACACAGGTGGAATTTGCCACAGGTAGATTGGTTTCCAAGCTGCATGAACTTCACTGCTATGCAGAGACGCACAAATAATGGTTCATGTGATTACCGTATTTTCCACACTATTAGGCGCTTTGGAGTATTAGGCGCACGTTCAAAGAATGGCCCATTTTAAAACTGTTTTCGTTTATAGGGCACACCAAATTATAAGGCGTATACAACAGAAGCTAGAATAGTGGCTGTCGTTGCACTATGCATCCACTAGATGGCGCTACCCTCAAGGGACTACAGTACAATACAGCTTCATTTATATAGCGCTTTCATAACTGCTGCAGCTTTAACAAAGCGCTTTACAGAACATTTAAAATACTACGTCCAAGAAATCAGAATATCAAATGTGCCATCGGCTATAAGGCGCACTGTCAGCATTTGAGAATATTGAATGCTTTTAACTGCGCATTATCGTGTGGAAAATAAGGACGTTTGATTCAATGATAGTGTAGCGGTTCATTCACCTGACTTCTGCGCATGCAGGATGGCTTCAGCTCCCACTCAATGTGAGTGTGGATGATCGTCTTTCTGAATGGTAATTGATTTGTGTGTAGTTTGCCTTTCACTTGAAGTCAGCTGAGATGGGCTCCAGTTCCCTGTGCCCTAAAACAGGAGAAGCAGTATAAACAATTGACGAAACAATAGTTTTTAGTATAGGCCGACCTGTCAGGAGTACTTAAAACATCTGACACCAAGGCTGGGTTTAGATCATGGCTCAGTCCTACCTGTGAGGAGTTTGCATGTTCTATCCATGCTTGAGAGTTGTCTCTGGGTACTCAAGCTTTCTCCAAAATCATGCATGGTAGGTGAACTGATGACTCAAATCTTTTTCCTTCAGTGCATGAATGTAAGTGTTGATTAACTGTAGATCAGCCGGGGTGTATCCTCTCGTCCCCAGACATCTGTGATTGGCCCTAGGCCACCATAGGCCCTCATGAGGAAAGCGATACAAAAAAATGGATGGATGTTGCTTAGGATGTTTCTAAAAGGCTTCAGCTGGATAGCTGGCAGTGAAAAAAATAATAATAATAACGATCGCGGGTAAAGGGACATAATGCTTGAGCTCTCTTATCTTCCTTCTCAAATTTAGGTGAAATTCTGAGGATGACTCACATTGCCCGGGGTTTAGACTCAGATGGAGCATTGTTACTGGACATTGTATTGAATGGGCAACTCCTGCAGCTGCCTTCACATGTTGATATCAGCATCAAGGTACGCACATTAATATTCATGCAATGCATTATAATTTGGAACAATTACATTTTTTGAATCTTCAAATAACATTATAAGCATGGGGTGTTCATTTTCTGATGGCCCGTGGCATATACTCAAAACATTATTCCGGACTGCTTATTGAGTTTAACGTTGCCCATATCATTTGCCAATTGAATCGATGTTTTAGCTTCTGTTATTTTTACTGTAGTGCTTGTTTCCTTTTAACTATGTTTGTACGGTGACTTGGAGTGCCCTGAAAGGTGCCTATAAGTTAAATGAATTATTATTATTATTATTATTATTATTTTTGTTTTTGTTGTTTTTACAAAGAGTGTTTCGGGATTAGCAAAAAATGCTAATACACTTTTTCAGTAATACATTATCTGTAAAAAATATGATTGCAGTGAACTGCAGAGTGATTGGTTTTAGTTTGTGATTGCAAATAAATGTATGATGAAGAATGCCCTTGCATCTTTCGATTTTTGTGTATGTGGCCCTAAGGGGGGAAAAAAAATTGGACACCAATGTTATTGAGTAAACAACAAAGAGTGACTATGCTTCAATCCAAGCGTGCTGTTTTCCTTTCAGGACTACACAGAGGACTACATCCAGACAGGGCCAGGCCAGCTTTATGCTCTGTCCACACGCATGTTCAGCATTGACAGGGAGAGCGTGCCCTACTCCTGGAATCACACCATCTCCTATGACGTGTCCAAGGGCAAGATGCCCTACTTGGTGCAGACGCTTCATGCAACAGGAATTAGCACTCAGTATCATGCCATGGAAGAGGTGCTGGAATACAGCATGCAAGCTCGTATCAGCAAGGGTATGAGAAATCATCTTGATTTAGAATCAGGGCAGTGTTGTTTTTATTCTGCATCAGAAATCTCTGACTGAGTATAGCTTTTCTTAGTTTTAATTTCTCGGTTCTTGGGGGCTTCATTTAGGCTTCTGTATAGTTTTCTGTCCTTCATAATAGTTTTTGTTTTTCATTCCAGGTGATCGCAGTAACCGATGTCCTCATGGATTCACCTTGTTTTCTGCAGGGCCATTCTGTGCAGGTGGGTGTTCTTGGCATAGTTTGTTTTCCATGAGTCCTTATATATTGACATACAGTGAAACTCCTCTACAATGAAACCTACATGTGCGAAAATACCCCCTAGTGTGAAAAACTCTTCATGCATTAAAGCCATTCCCTGTTTTCAGCTTCCCCCCACAACGAAAAGTCCCCCTGTTGCGTAATATGAAATCATGTTCTCCACCCTTGCCTCGCAATGAGGTTCACTACAACTGTTGTGAAAAATGTCTTGCTGCAAACATGATTTCGTTGTAGAGGAGTTTCAATTTATTTACCGGTACTGGAGAAATGCAGATATGGCAAAAAGAGAAGGGACAGTCACCACAAGGAGGTTCTTTGCAAGAACATATGGATGCGGCTCCACTAGTCTAAATTCGTCATTTTGATTAATATTGCGTATATGGAATAAGACTGAATCCACCTGTTTTTGTCTATCTCCGGTGGCGGACGTTTTGCCACTTTGATCGACTGAAAATAACATCACAGTTGCTCATGACTAAGGTAACGACCAATCATTGCTCAGCTTCAGAAAGCAGGTGAGCCGTGATTGGCCATTAGCTGTGCCCTGAACAACTGTGTGGTCATTTTCAGTTGACAGAAAGTGACAAAATGGCCGCCCCTGAGATGGCTCAAAAGGGGTGGATTTTGTTGCTCAACTCAGATTCCGCAAACACATTGTGAATCATACATAATCTAGTGTTTAGACTTGTGAAGGTGCATAGAACATATTATTGTAAAGAACATTTTGGCTTTGAGTTTCCCTTTAAGAAGTAAGGTACCATGCAGATCTCGAGGTCCATCTCTGCTAACTGTCAGTCTTGTATAAAATATCTGAAACCAATGCTAGGACAATACAACTCTTTTAACAAAAAATAACTGCAAGTAACCTTGCAGAATATAATTTAAATAAACATCATTAAGTATCTGGAATGTTCGATACTTAAATATTCAAATTCCATTCATTTGTATTGTGTCAGTACTCTGGGAGGGATCTGCACAGGTGGCGGTGGGATAGGTTCCTCACTCTGGACAGGCAGGTCTATTCCTTTGGCTTTCTGTTCCGCGGGTGAGGCATTTCATTCACAAACAATTTCCTCCGATTTCATCTTGTCGAGATGTTTCGGGGAGCAAAAGTATACATTTGACTCTAGACATGTAGTGAAGTAAAAATCAAAGTTGGCCAAAATATGACGAACAAAGTCGAAGTACAGATATGTGAAAATTCTTCTTAAATACAAATACTTTGTTTCCAAACTGGCTAATGTCTTGTTTATATGCACTGCAGATGAGAATGAGTGTGAAGTGGGAAACCCCTGTTCTCATGCCTGCCACAACGCCATGGGCACCTATTACTGCTCTTGTCCGCACGGGCTCACCATCTCAGCTGATGGCAGGACCTGTCAAGGTTTACAACACTCATACACACACAGGCATTGAATGTTCATTGTTGTCAACTCAAAGACTGTGTCTTAACCCAGAAACGTTTGTTCCCACCAGACATTGACGAGTGTTTGCTGGGTACCAACGTGTGTCATGATGGACAGGACTGCCAGAATACAATTGGATCATACCGGTGCATTATGCGCTGTGGCCGCGGGTTCAGGAGAACAATTGATGGCCACAGTTGCTCAGGTACAATCGCACGGTAGACTCAGCAAATCCTTGAAGTATGCTTCTTTTCACCGAGGGGTGTTGAAGTCTTATTTTATAAATCCGTCCTCTCTTTTGCTCAGATATCAATGAGTGCCAAGAGTCCAATCCATGCAATCAACACTGCCTGAACACCATCGGTAGTTATCGCTGCACCTGTGAACCTGGCTTTCACCTCAGGAACCGACGATGTGTTGGTAAGCGTGTGCCTAAAAAAATGACTTCACTTTAGTCAAGTCTCCTAAAAACAAAATTTTCAGAGTTTTTCTCGGACAAAGTTAAAGAAATGACTCGGCACACAGGGAAAATTGTCTACAATATCGATGGGAGGGATCGCTGAGGCCGAATGATGGTTGTTGCCCCGGCAACCACACTCAGAGTTCCATGTCCGCCAATTTGAACTTTTATTGTTACATATGCAAAATACAAGAAAAACACTGCCCCCGATATTTGCATACCACGCCCCCGGTTCGGCCTCTCGGTAGTGATTGGGCACTGGATACGCACCCAAACGTTTAGACGTGCCCAAATTAATTGAAACTTAAAACATGATACAATTTTGCTCATAGATTTATCTATCAAACATATTTAGTGGTGTTTGTCAGTTTATACCCACATAATCAAGGTAATCAGTATTCACACTGCCCCTCCATCCTCATTGATGCTGCAGCGCATACCCAGTTTGGGGTCACAGGGTAGCTAAGTTTGTCTCAGCTGACTTCAAGAGAAAGAGAAACATTTACATTCACACGAGCAGCGAAAGAACCGACGCAAGCGTATCAAAATCCTGCATCGCTAAAATCAAACCGTAAACAGTCGAACAATCCCTAATTGTCATGAATTGACATGTACTGTAAACTTCTGATATTTGTGGGTGATCGGGTTCCGAATAGCAAGAAACTAACTATTTTGAATGGCCTATACAGTATTAATTTTTACGCTGTAAATATACCACAAACCATGATCCCAAATCATTACTACGGTATATCATTTTAAACACAACTCGCACTAGCCTATTGAAAACACACTGGGAGTGTAAGTGTACACACACATTCAGCAAAGACTCCATAAGGTCCGTCCACTAAGATCCCTGGCTACACTTAGCGGCAACATGTTAGCCTCTCAGTCGAGATGCATCATTTCAACGTACTTCCTTGACACCACTTGAAACTTTCCGAACAACCAGGCCTTCGGCACAAACTTCTTCTTTCTTAAAGCATTACAGAAAGTCACCATAAATCAGTATTGGCGAGTTTTTGAGCAAATAGCTGAGTTTAAATTGCACGAATGAGTCAGTGGGAAAACCACGAACGGGGGAATTTTTGAATGGCTAACTACGAAGAGGCAGGATTAATTTCACTGTACAGTATTGAAACAGGTTGTCTGGTAAATAACACTTTAGCTTTTTTTTTTTCCAGAACTGATTTCTTTGTTCCCAAATGTCACTTCAGATATAAATGAGTGCAGGCAGAGGGTTTGTCGATCAGACCAACAGTGTAAAAATACCCGCGGTGGGTACATCTGCATCGACCTGTGCCCAAGCGGGATGAGCAAGGGTGCCAATGGAACATGTGTAGGTCAGTATCATGTATTCATGTGTGTAAGACATCATAGCAGTGCTCTTTGACTGATGCCCACACTCTGGCGTAGATATTGACGAGTGCCGAGATGGCACCCATCGGTGCAGATACAACCAGATCTGCGAAAACACCAGAGGGAGTTACCACTGCACGTGTCCACGCGGCTACCGATCTCAGGGAGTGGGCAGGCCCTGTGTTGGTACGTGCTTCATCTTTAGCACTTGCACACAAATTGGTAACCATCTGTAGCTTTCAAAAGTCACCATTCAGAAACATTGAGCAGCAAAACTTGACTTGCTCATGTGCAACACGTATGTTAGGCTAAATTTATGGATCTTTGAGGGATGAAATATGCGACCATTTAACCTTTTTTTAAAGGGACTGCTCATTGCTTCTTTTGTGCTTTTCATATATCTGCCAGAGAACTCACCTGTCACCTGTAAGCGCACACATTTCTTCCGCTATCCGCCATCTTGTTTAAAACGTCACTGCTTGCTTAAACAATGCAAGTGCTGCAAATTGCCTAGCTTACTGATTAAACTCAGCATCAACAAGACTTGGAGTTGCAGTGCATGGTTCGTGCCCTTTTTTTTTTTTTTTAAACTTCAACGTAAGAGAATGGACATGGAAAGAGTAACAGAAGAAGACAGTCAATGGCTCGGACTCTCACTGGTTAGGGCTTGCACTTCAACCATAAGAAGACCAGCACCTTTTCATTTCACATCGCTGTTACACCCTGTCTGTCTTCACCCTGTCTGTCTTCTGTCTTTTACTTTGGACTTGGATTTTGGACTCGGCTTTGTAACAGCACACTCCTGCCTGTGACATCATTCGTATGTCTTGTCTTGTAGCTGTCATCAACTTTCCCCCTTTCTCCTTACGTTCTTTATTGAATATCACAATTCAGTCACATTGTGTTCAACTTGACTGATTCTTTTTTTTTTTTTTTTGTGAATTTAAAGGTCTTGTCAAAACTACATTTTACATTTGAGATTAGAAGCAAGAATCTGATTGGAAGAAGAGTAAAGGCTCAATACATTTCACATGGCATGGAAATGTATTTCTGTACAGTGGGGTAACTGATGTATCTCCCCCACCCCTATCTCTCCTTTCTGTGTACATGAACCGCATCACATTTCTTTTATTTCTGTCCTCCTCATCTTTTCTCTCATTTCCTTTCCTGCTCTCTCTATTCTCTTGGTGCTGGTCTTTCTTTGTGTCGAGGGCAGATATAAATGAATGTGAGCGGCTTCCGCAGCCCTGCGCCGACCAGTGTGTCAACACTCCAGGCAGCTTTAGATGCACCTGCCCACCGGGGCGCTACCTGCTGGGGGATGGCAAGTCTTGCGCCGGGCTTGAGCGCCTCCCGACTTATGAGAGTTACTCTTATGGCTTCCGAACATCCCAGTCCTTTCCTGAGCGCAACCCCTTCCAGCACCTCTACCACAACTTGGCTTCACACAGCTATCACTCCTACACCGCCAACACTAGGGGACACGACAGGGGCCGGACCCGAAGAGGAGTCCCCGTAAATCAGGGCCCCGAAGCTTGTCAGGATGGGTTTGTGTACAAGGATGGCCGCTGCTCAGGTAACTATGAATGGAAGGCAGGGTCACAGAGAGAAGCACCTGCTTCAGTTTGGACTATAAAATGTGTTTATTTTGTTGCTGTTTAACTATAGCGGCCCGGTGGTCCAGCGGTTAGCGCGTTGACACCACAGTGTGGGTTCGAGCCCAGCGCCGGCCTTCCTGTGTGGAGTTTGCATGTTCTCCCCGTGCTTGTGCGGGTTTTCTCCGGGTACTCCGGTTTTCTCCCACATTCCAAAATCATGCATGGCAGTTAAATGGATCACTCCAAATTGTCCCACGGTATGCGTGTCAGTGCGAATGGTTGTTCGTTTCTGTGTGTCCTGCGACTGGCTGGCAACCGGTTCAGGGTGTCCCCCGCCTAATGCCCGAAGACAGCTGGGATATGCTCCAGCACCCCTTGCGACCCTTGTGAGGATAAACCGGATCGGAAAATGGATCTTTAACTATACTGCACGATTAGAGCTCTTCAAGGGGGAATTCATTTCACGCTCTCATCGTTTCATATTCCGCTTTTCATACATGACACTGCAAGTCAAAGTTCTTCACAAAATTCCCACACAGCCACAAGGAGGCAAACATACACAAGTAAAAGCTGAGAGAGCAATGATTGACTGAAAGACCAGACAGGGGCAACAGAGAATCTCATGAGCATTCGTCAATATCATCACTATCAATATCATATGACAGTTTGACAATTACTAGTTGAACAATATGATTATTGTTGCGGTTGGTTGTGGTGGAGGTGTTTCTAGGATGTGGGTAATCTTGTTCATGGATGAGGAGAGGGTGAAATACAGGATGTGTTCCACTCATCATCTTGATGATGCACTGCTTGCGTTTTGTGATACGTGCCAGATATCAACGAGTGTGAGCTGAGGGATTCCTGCCAGCATGAATGTATGAACGCACCAGGAAGCCACAGGTGTCTTTGCCCAGCTGGTTACCACCTCATGACCAACGGCAAGACATGCCAAGGTGAGAGTCTCACTTCTGGACCGCCATGCTTTATATGTTGAAATGACTGGCAGGACCAACTCACTGTTAGCTTGTTAAAAAAAGACATTGGGATGTAAGTTGCCTGTTGTATTTCCAGATATCGATGAGTGTCTTGAGCAGGACATCCAATGTGGTGCCAACCGCATGTGCTTCAACATGAGAGGAAGTTACCAATGCATTGACACACCTTGTCCACCAAACTACCAGAGAGAGTCGAGCACGGGGTAAAGTCACATGCAAGACACGGATAAATAGTTATGTTACAGGAACAGCTAAAGCTATTTCAACTCTGTCCGCTCCCATTGGATGTTAGTTATGCATTTCTCTCTTTTTCTGTTTGCTTTAAAGACCAGTTTTAAGTTGTATGTAACAGTGTATTGTAACTCAATCAGCATTGAAATAAACGGTGTGTTGAATTTGCTCAATTTTATTTTGTCAAGTGGTTGCACAAAATGAAATCATTTGGATCAAAATACATTTAATACTTAAAAGAAAAATGGGTCTTGATCCAGAAGACTATTTCGTGCAACCTCTTGACAAAATAAAATGGAGTAAATTCAACACACCGTTTGGTTTTCCAGTGCTGGCACTGGAACAGGGTACTCACTGACTTACACCATGCGTGCCCTGTAATTTACACTAGTGCTGCATGATAGTGGGAAAAAAATGTGTTAAATGATATGGATGTCGAAAACTGTAATATTTCGATTATCATATATTTAAGATGTACTGAAAGAAACGTTTTCATTATCTACACTGGCAAAAATGTGCTGCATTTACTCTTTCGTCATGTGGTTGCACGAAATAAAAATTTCAGAATCCAGATTTTGTTTTTTTTTTTTTTTTTGGACTAGACATCTATTTTAAAAAATTATCTGTGTACAGATGTTTTTTTTTTAAAACCACATTATGAAATAAATTCAACCACCATTTTTTTCAATTCATGAAAGAAATTAAAATATTTTCATGTGGCAAAAGAAGCACGCTCAGTGTATTATGAGCTACTTAATTATAATAACAGTTTTTTTTTTTTTATATTTATGTTTAAAAATGTGTTCCCACCTCTTTGTAGCCAATTAATACTCATCTTGCATCTGCGATCCGTGTTCCAGGTTCTGTCTGAAGGATTGCCCTCCAAATGACCTGGAATGCGCTCTGAGCCCTTACGCCCTGGAGTACAAGCTCCTGTCTCTCCCGTTCGGCATCGCAGCCAACCAGGACCTCATCCGACTGGTGGCTTACACGCAGGACGGTGTGATGCACCCTCGGACCACCTTCCTTGTGGTCGATGAGGACGTCACGTTACCTTTTGCCATTCGAGATGAGAACCTCAAAGGGGTGCTGTTTACTACTCGACCTTTACGAGAGCCTCACACGTACCGCATGAAGGTGCGAGCCCTCTCCTATAACGAAGACGGAGGCATCGAGTACCAGACCACCTTCATCGTCTACATCGCTGTCTCGGCCTACCCTTACTGAGAGCACTTTAAATGACACCAGACTAAAGGGACGTGCTGAAGTGACATCCTCCCCATGCAACACCACTAGGATACATTGAGTTCGCATTGAGAGAATGAAATAAGAACATTGACTTGTGTGTGTGTGAGAGAGGCTATTGAGAAAGAGGATTTAAATACAAAACAAGTCTCGCCTAACCGGTATTTATTGGTTTTAATTTGTGCCCTTGTATTTGTAAAGACTCAGTTACCGGTAATTGTTTAATCCATATCGTTGCCTGTCACATACAAAATGCTCACGAGATGCTCAGAAAAGTGTGTTCAAGTAATAGTCAAATGTAATGGAACATCTGGCCATGGCACTAAACAGGAAGTGAAAAGGGAAACAATCCTGAGGTTAGTTCATCTCAAAGCTGTTTAGTGGGCTTGACGTCTGGAGCGCATCATGTTGGAACAGTAAAGGGTCTCACCCACACGGGCTCCACAAGAATAAAATGATCCAAAATGTCTTGATAAAATGAAGAATTAAGATTGAGGAGTGCAATCGTTGTTGATCAAGTTATTAGTAGGTGCGCATTCCAAGTTTTTTGTCCAAATAGTCGAACATTGAACTCATAGTCCATGGGCCAAACCAGAATTTGGAAACACTCAGGGTGGCATAATTTAGTGACAATTTTTCAAACGGTACATGCCCATAGATTACTTTTGGGTACGATAACCTGTTCTAATTGGTAGCTTTGTCATAGTTATCAGCACATCAATTTAATCCCCCCAAAATTGTTCACTTAATTGAAATCCCCCCAAATTGTTACTAGATTTTATTGGTACCTTGAGTGGTACAGATGAGTGAAATTTTGGACTTTGGCCCATTGACAATTACTGGGCAGTCCTTGAACACAATTAAAATGTAGAAATGTGCAGTTTTTTAACATTATAAAATGTGACGGCATGGCACAAAAGGCACCCTCAGGTAGCTACCCATCGTCACCACTCCTCACAAGAACACCGAGTGATGTCATGCACCAATTGATTCTGAGATGTATTTTATTTTTTTGACATGTACATAAATGGGTTTTTTTGTTACATGAATTGCTATACTGTACTTATTTTCTCCTTTTTTAAATAAAAAGGTAATTGCATCACAGCGCAATTAAGTTTAAATGTTACAAGAAGAAGGTGCAGCATGATAGTCGAGTGCAGTGTTGCTTAACCTGGGTTCGATCGAACCCCAGGGGTTCGGTGAATCGGTCTCAGGGGTTCGACAGAGCCTCGGCCATGGAGGTTAAGACACACCCGACTCAACATGTCAATTAGTTATGACACACCCGTTTGGCCATCACTGGCTGCACATGATCACGTGACATTGCTTGTCCAATCAGTGCTGCGGGAAATTTAGTTCGCTCAGTCGTCAATGTGTGACTGTCATGATAGTACGTCATGTGATTTTTTTTTTAGAATGTTTTAATACATTGACTATGTCGAGCAAAAAAAATAAAGTGGTCGGATGAATATGTACCACATGGATTCACATGCATCATGGAACGTGATGGGACTCAGCATCCTATCTGCATGATTTGTCATGTCAAGTTGAGCAACTCAAGTCTCGCACCGGCAAAACTGAAGGAACACTTCTTGAATCAGATTTTTATTTTTCAGTAATGAAGAGTTCGGTGAATGTGCATATGAATTGGTTGGGTTCGCTACCTCTAACAAGGTTAAGAACCACTGGTCTAGTGGTTACAATCATGTTTTGAGATGAAGGGTTTGAATGTCAGGTACCTTTGCTGTGTTTGCATGGTCTGCCCATGCAAGGCTTACTCCAACATTACAAAAAAAAAAAACGCATGAATGACAAATGAAGACTCAAAAGTTCTCTATAGGTGTGATTTTCAAGCATGAATGGCAGTTTATACACACGACCACTCCAGGGTCTACCTTGCATCTCCCCCGAAGTCAGCTGGAATAGGCTCCAGTCCATCCTTTAACCGACTGAGGGAAAACATTATCGAAAATGGATGGATGGTAGTAAAACACACAAAAAAAGGAAAATTCAACCAGCATTCATAACATTTATTTTTTTGTCCAAAAAAAGCACAAACATAAAAAAAGGAATATTTTGTAAGGCAGTTTTTTTTTTTTAAACATCAGTTTGGTTTGTTTCCATGACTCCTTGCCCTGCAACTAGAAATACATGAAGCATAAGACAATCGTATAGTTCTTCTGATCATGTCAAAACAGCCTATACTGCATTAGAAAATACATCTAGCATCTTGGGATGCATAACCACTGATGTTCAGATTGAACTATTCTGACACAATTTCTGAGAAGTAATTAAATTGTCAATTGAAGTGAAGCTGTGGTGGAACAATGAGGAAACTTCACTGATCCGTGATTTGAAATTGGCAGGGAAAAAAAAAACTGCGGAGGAAATTAGTTATTTGTCTCTGACAACGGTTGCTGCTCTTACACAGTTGGGGTTTTTTCCCACACAGGGCATTCATTTAAATTGACATGTAATCTAATTGTTTCATTTGGCAACAGATGAGCTCTCTACCTTTTAAGGCAGACAAAAAAAAAAAAAAAAAAAAAGCAGGTTTCCCGTGGTTAGACAAAATGCTTGGGATAATGATGAGAATGACAAATCAATGTGCATTAATTTGGAACTTTGGGACAGAACACACAAACTATGCAAAACGACGAGTACGGAAAACCTGTCAGCAACACCCCAATAATTTTGATAATTGACAGTTCGTGTGCCAAAACACACTGCCCAAATATGTATCACCCACCTATTATTAGTCTCTCCCATTAAGCAAAAATTGCAGATTTTGCTCAATATCATTTAAAAAAATTTCAATGAATGATTTGGTCACGAATGTGTTTGCAGGACAAAAAAAAGCATGTATTTAAAAACGGGGAAAAAAAGTACTCTGAGGGTCATTAGTCCTATTTGAAGAGCTCCTAGAAACAGGGAATGCTAGAAACAGGGGAAGCGTGAGTGCACTTCGTGACAAACATGACTTGGAGAACAAAGATAAATGTGCCAAATCCTTTGAGAACCTAATGCGACCCACATAAGATTTTGTCTTGCAATTTGATCTGACACAATCCCACCGGCTTGCCTTTTCTGATTTTTCTTGCAGTCCATATGTCATCTGTTACATTGTGTGTGTCTGTCAAATATCTGCTCCACATTTAGACCGTCTTCCTGGCCGTCAGCACTCGCACAATACAGCCCACTCCTCCGGAGGTCAGTGCCTACAAATGCACACAAATGGATTTATTGAGGGCAACATTTCTACTTAGGAAGTCAATCAAACACTCCTTATAAAGTAATATTTCTCATAATAATTTATTAACATAAGGATGGGCATGATTACTTTGTGTGTGGAATTCTAGTGCTTGTATTAGAATGCTATGCAGTCCAGGGATTCCTAACAAGTGTACTGAGAGAGATGTGTGCCACCACAAAATACTACATTTTAGTTGTTGGTGTCAATCTTATTTTTACAGCAGCATATATTAACGGGCGGCACAGTTAAATACAGGATATGGCAGAAGTTACATCAATGACATGTACACGTATGCCCAACTATGTGGTGGTAATGCTTGCTAATGTAAAATGTGTGTATCTTCGCCTAATAATGGTAAACTGTAGTCACCCATGCACTACCAGCAGAGGGCAGCATTTATTCCACCTCAGTTTAATGGCTCAAGTAAGAGCCCATGACATGACAGCTATGTGCCCCTCACGAGAAGTGACGCCACCGGCGGCCATCTTACATTGCCAGTTACTAAGCACGCCCAACTCGAATACACTGATCTGTCTATGGGATTTTCACATTATTTTCTGTCTCTATGGCGAAGATGACACCGTGTATGGCTTATGGTTGTACCAACAAGTCTGCACATTTCGTCTGTAAAAATGCGGTAACGAATTTTCTCCTATAAGGTACCGGTATATCCCTGAGTGCTCAACCATTTGTTTTGTTGTCAGAGCCACCAATAATGAAATGAAACTAAAACCCATTAGCAAAAAAATTTGAATATGAACTGTGAGTGGCACATCATTATACTGGGATAATATACTCTGACTGGTCAATGTAAACATTGAAATTTGTTCTTTTGAGAGTCTCTCATTTCTCCACATAGGGATCGTAGTGTAAAACACACACTAATAATAGTGATTTCAGAAAAATAATAATAATAATAATAATAAGAGGCTGTCAGCAACAGTGGTTGTGGATAGCGCATTCATATATATGTCCGTGGCTAAATTAGGAATGAGGTTGCAACCAAGTCAAGCCACAGCCACCATTTTATTGCGCCACTCGACAAAGTGAATAAGAGGTTCAAGAGTGATGCAATGTCGCCACGTAACGGCATGACAAGGAGTTTTGATGACAAGGAAGAGATTTTTATTTTTCTTATTCTTATAACAAATTTGTCTTTTTGTTGTTGTTGCTTTCGACAAAATCAGAATACCACTGGTACAGATCATTTGGAAACTACAATACGTTATATCATTTTCATACCATTTTAAACCTACAATCTATATAAGTATAACAATCAATAATTACTAAATACTGTATCACAATTCTTTAATATACAAGGGTCTTGTAATAAATACAGTGAGTTTTTTCAGTATAAGGACTTCTAACACAGACTATTTTTTTTCCTTCAACGTAGTCTCTCAGCACTGTCACACACTTTTCCTATCTGTGCACAAGCTTCCCTATTCCCTCAGTGTAAAAATCTTTGGACTGATGTCTCAGCCAGTCGCTCACAAGACTTTTGACTTCGTCCTTACACTGCAGATGCCTCTACCTGCACAATGAAGTAACAAATGTGACCCAATGGTGGGCAGACGTCAAGTGTGCTGCTGCCAGCTCGTGTGATGGATTAAACAAAACTCACAAGTTAAGAAAATTTTGCTCGCAACTCAAAAGAGGAAACCTCACCTGAGTAACTATTTGTATACAAACACTGGATATATACTTCTTCCTCGAAAATTACTGAGTAGAGCAGACCAGTAGTAAAAGTGTACCTTTTCATGCCACTGCAGGAGGACAGCGCTGCTGTTTTCCGATGGCCTCTCGAAGCCTTTGTATATGTATTTCATCAGCAAGTCTACACCATTCTTGTCCAGAGACTGAACACCTTTCTCAATGTCGCTGCTCTTAAAGGCGCTCAGCACCTTCAACACCAGACCCTCGGCACGGTCCTGGTGACAAATTGGACATATGTGCAAAGATGTATAAGATGTATAAATGTAGAATGGAAGCCAAAATGGCAGAGAGAACAAACGCTGACCTTCACGTTCTGGTTCTTGGTGTTGATTGGTGGGTTCTTGAGGACGGCGTGTAGAGCTGCCATGTTGTCTCCTGTGCAGGGTTTGGTTAAGGATTTGACACAAAACTAATTGAAGTACTATTGAAAGGAGACTTGGTTCCCTCCACTTCCAACAAAAAGGTGTATGATGGAATAGTTGTTAGGGTTGTAATATTGTAATAATGTTTTTTATTGTACATTGTGTTCTGTTGTATTATTGTTATTTTATGTTAAATGTTGTGGAAACGCTTTGTTGAAAGTGCTGTATAAATTAAGATGTATTGTATAAAATTCAACATCTTTAAATGCAGTGGCAACATGGACAGGAATCCGTGATACAAACTTAATGGCGGCTTTTAACACATTGCCTCAAATTATCACCAGATTTCCATGGACTGGTCGACATATCCATCATTGAAATGTTCAAAACATGTCTGACTTTTACAAGGCTGGTTAAATGAGAATAAAAACTGGTTGGAAAAACTTAAAAGGCAACAAATCTCCCATCTGTTAAATGAGAGATGTGGTGGGTGGGGCGTGACTCTTTCAATCAGGAAGTGCCGCACTTTCATACCTTATAAGGCCTTCAATTCATTCTCATTAACGGGCGCTTGGTGTCAACCTTTCCGGAAGGCGCACGGCAGTACTATTGGCACAAAGAACAAATAGTATTCACTTGCATACCAATAATGAGTAGTGGCATAATCGCGAGAAACATCTAATGATTTTTTTTTTTAAAAAGGTGTCGCTACGAGCCTATTTAGATAAAGCACAGCAAGCTTCATTAACTTCAGGAAGAAATCCCTGGAATGTGACTGTCAGGCAAGTCTGGGCAGTGACTGGCCTCATTGTAGACGCCCGATTAGCAAGTATCAGACGCTCAAATAGACACTAATAAGGGGATTTTTAGACAGTATCTGACGATTAAACGTTACATTAGCATTTCAACAATATGCTTTGTACGCTAGCATAAAGTGGGATAATAACGTAAAGGATATTGTCTGATGAGGGAGTCCACCTCAGCTTCGTCGGGACCCAGCTGGTTCTCCCCTCCGTCCTCCTCGTCTACAAATTTGTTCTCGTCGTACTCATCCACGTCCACTCGCCTGAAGCGTGCGGACATGACGTTCTTCGACATTTCGGGAATGGAAAATAAAGGCGACTAAAAGAATCAAAGAGCCCAAACGTTAAAGCTTAATTTCCGGCCTTTTCGCAGTCAACTGACAAGCAGGAAGCCTCCTGATGTCCTCTCCTTCCTTGTGCGGCTTTTCGGTTCCGCGTTGTACGCTATCGCCGCCATGCGACCAACATGTAGAACCGCACGCAGTCCGGACAGTGACCGCTAGATGGCAAGCATAGATCACAAATGTGTCAACATGACAATCGTCATTTCGCAGGGATTATTGAGTTATGTCCATCCACCCATTCTCAGAGCTGTTTATCCTCACAAGGGTCGCGGGTGTGCTGAACCCTTTCCCAGCAGGCAGCAGACGGGTTTCACCTTGACTGGTTGCCAGCCAATCGCAGGGCACACATAGACAAAAACCATTCACACTTACAATCACACTTTGAACAATTTACAGTGGTCGATTAATTTACCATGCCTGTTTTTGGAATGTGGGAGGAAAGTGAAATGCAGTACTCGGAGAAAACCCACGCAGGCACGTGGAGAACATGCAAACTTCAAACAGGAAGGCACGGGCCGGATTCGAACACCGTACCGTGAGGTAGATGTGCTAACCAGACGTCCACTGTTCTGCCATGATAAAAAGGGGTACATTGGGGGGAAAAAAAGCATGATTTCCTGAATGAGCTGAAAAAATTTGGATCAGTCAAGAAATGAAGAAATGTGAAGGGGGGATATATTAAATATCTCAATTACATCTGGCAATTTTATTGTGAAAACGTTACGGAGAATGTGGAAATTATTGGAACGTCTCTTGAAGTCTTGAATGAACTGAACATTTTTAAGTGGGACTGGTTTGAATCAGTCAAGAAATGTGGAAGGAGGTAAATGTTAAAAATATCTCTTAATTGTGAAATTTATGATACCAAAGTGTGGGCTTTGGGGAATGTGGGAATTATTGGAAATGTGGAACGTAGTTTGCAGGATGTTTTGAATGAGCTGAACACTTTAAAGTTGGATTTTTTTTTAATTGGTCAAGAAATATGGAACGAAGTAACTGTAAAATCTCTCACTCTCATACTTTGGGAATGTTATTGTGAAATGTTGTGAATTTCTCTGCGAAAGGGGATTGTGGACAGTGGGAAATATTGGAAGATGAAAAATAGCTCACTAGGTATCCTGAATTAGCTGAACAGTTTGAAGTTGGAATGAGAATGTTGGGAAACTTTTTTGCTTTGTTGTCTTATCCACTTGAATAGGTTTTTTTGAGTGTAAAAAAACAAAAAATGTGTAGTTCTCGGAAAAGTAGGAATTTTCGGGAAAGAGGAAAATATGTGCTTAATGTGGTGAATATGGGGGATTTGGAATGTTTGAATTGGTAGAAAAATATGGAAGGAGTTGAATGGTGAGAATGTTGGGATTAATAATTGTACAAGGTTTTGGGTATAGAATAACCTCCTCCATGTATAAATGCACTTACGTATTGAGATGCTACATTTTTAAAATATATTTTGTTCGGTGGGAAAATAATTTTTTGAGTGAAAGAAAACTTTCAAAACTTTCATACTTTGTTTTTTGTGTATCGTGTAACCAAGTGAAAAAGACCTACAATTCACTTTGCTGGGCCCCTGCTGTGGCAGCACTTCTGAGTGTGTAAACAAATGATCTATATATCCTTTTGGTTGGGTAACTTTCCACATTAGTCTGTCTATCCGTGTGTGTGTGTGTGTGTGTGCGTGTGTGTGTGTGTGTGTGTGTGTGTGTGTGTGTGTGTGTGTGTGTGTGTGTGTGTGTGTGCGTGCGTGTGTGCGTGTGTGCGTGTGTGTGTGTGTGTGCGTGTGTGTGTGTGTGCGTGTGTGTGCCGATTCATAGTGCGGAAATATTTTTGTGGCTTCAGGTGGGTGGTCACTGGTGATTCCTGAAAGTTCCGCGTCACCCCAGATTTTAGGGTTTTCCTGCTCTGGGTGAACATGCGTGTTTGTCAAAGCAGGAAATGGGGTGGGGGGGCTGGGGGGGAAACTTTCCATGTTGAACTTCTGCCCAGTGAACGTTCAATAACGCTCAAGGAGTATTTGACGTAACGCAAAAGCCACAGATAAATGCTGAACCTGAACTCTTTTGATCCCCCAACTCTCAGGGACTCTTATGGTGTTGCTATGGCAACAGCCACCGAAGCTAACTGTTTTCTTTTTCAACCTTGTCTTGTTCAGGTCGGAATTTTTAATTTCCTTATCTGCTCTGTCTAGACTGTTGGCCTCCTGCCACAGGGGGAGTAAGTTAATGTTGCATGCACTGTATTCAACTGTGGTACTCAAATAACTTTCAACACACTGTATCTAATGCAGGGGTGTCAAACTCATTTCACATTGTGGGCCACATACGGCCTCGGTAGATGTCAAGTGGGCCGGACCATTAAAATTATACCATACTCTGCTATAAATAACCGAAATAACATTTATTTCCTTTGTTTTGTTCTAAAGAAGCACAAGAACATTCGGAAAATGTTGAAATTTAATGAACATATCTTTTACAAAACATTTCATGAAGCACCTTAGATTTCCTTAGACAAATGTGCAATTTACTTTTGTCATTCACAGATATGCATTGCAACTGATCCCACTGATTGTACAAAGGCACAAAACTTTAACAAGTAATTATTATTGAAAAATATAGTAATGCACTTTAAGATTAAACGAGATTTATAAAGAAAGGATTTTTTTTAAACCATTTACACATGTGCATATGAAATCCAAATTTAATCCTTGCCTACACCTTACAAACTAAGGAGAGTGCGATTGAATATGTAAAGAATAAAGTATTCACATGTCCAAGATAGCGTCTGCTGTGTTGGGTCTGTCTCAGTGACAGAATGAGACTGCTGTTGTCTTCTCTGATCAAAACAGTGTGTCCCCTAGCGGATACTCCATGAATTGTACCTTGTTAAAAATATTAATTCTGTGTTTTTTATGCATTTTTTTCACTTTTAAATTACCCCGCGGGCGTGATTGAACCTCATTGGGGGCCGTTTCCGGCCCCGGGCCGTATGTTTGACACCACCGATCTAATGTATTCATTGAGCAGGAACTCACATACAAGCACACAGCGTTGCGTGCGTGGCTCATGACTTGTCCTCTGTGAGGGCTTTTGGGAGCGCCCCTGCCTATCAGTGTTATGTGTGTGAGTCAGCACATAAAAGGGTGAAGATACAGGCACATACATGACCCTCACGTGAATGCCCCGAAGGAATGCCGTACACCCATCATTTCCTGCCGTGTAATGTGCATACCTGGGTAGACAGCACCTACAAACGAGCTGTCAAATCAAGAGCTAAAAGAAGACGCCTGTGTCTGTGAGGTGTCTTTCCAGCCTTCCAGATGCTCTCCACGCATGAGTTAAAGCAGGTACTCGGCTGTAAATTATCTGAAGCACTTAATTAGTTTTCCCACATGATGAAAATTTCAGCCCATTAAATTGAATAATATCTTGACATATTTTGGGTGGGACATTCTCGGTGGGGGTTTTTATATATATTTCTGGAAGTTACTATACACGTGGTTTGTTGTTTCGTACCCATTGGGATCCAGGAACAATTTAAGTATGACAGTATATAAATATATAAGTATATAAATAAAGATCTGTTATGAGCTAAAGATATGAATATATGTCAATGGAATGTTGTTGTTGTTCTAATTAAGAAACTTAAATCGAAAAAAGACATTAATCACTTTCATTCAAATTTCCCATTTACAGGTAGGCCACTGCAGAAAAACAGTGACTGGAAATTCAAAGTTTTAAAAAAATAATTGAAATTCCATCCCCCAAATTTTTGGGGGGAAGGAATTTACGATGGGATTTTACGATGATAAAGTAACAGTATTTAATCATCAGTATTATTGCAAGAGAGGTCCCAGATTCTTCCAGTTTCAGTTGAATGTATACTGTAGTCAACAATAATCTTCTAACAGGGAAAGGGTCACCAAAGTTTTTGAAAGTGAGACCTACTTCTCGGGTTCTGATAAATGCAAAGGTCTACCAGTGTGATGCACACTTCTGAAATAACACATTGGCTCCATTGTATGATATCATGAATTCTACTCATCCACAAGTTAACGAATTATCACAAGAATTACTAAGAATGATTTAACAAGGTAGGAGAAAAATAAATATCAATACACAACACTTAATTACAATACAGAAAATCTCTGCAAGTGTTTATAATTCCAAATGATCACTTCTATAACACTGAAAATCACAATTTCCCATCGTCAATGACCTACTTTTAGAACAGGCCCGCAGTCTTCTCATGTGGGGCTACTTGGTGCCCTCAGCCACCATGTTGATGACCACTGCACAATGGCCTTTCCCAATCTTAGTGTTGGGCTATAATACGGGTCGTAGCTCAATTTTTATTTCAGGCATGGGCAATTTTTTTGTGCTCAAGGATAACATTTGATTTTTTTTTAAACAAATAGATGAGCTAAGACACAGGTGTCAAAGTCCGGTCCTCGAGGGCCGGTGTCCTGCATGTTTTCCATCCCTCCCTGCTGCAACACACCTGATCCAAATGATCAGTTCATCAGCAAGCTCTATCGGAGCCTGATAGTGATCCTGATCATTTGAATCAGGTGTGTTGCAGCAGGGAGGGATGGAAAACATGCAGGACAACGGCCCTCGAGGACCGGACTTCGACACCTGTGAGCTAAGATATTTGGAGACATTCGTTCATTCTTTTCCGAACCGCTTTATCCTCACTAGGGTCGCGGGGGGGTGCTGGAGCCTATCCCTGCTGTCTTCGGGCAGTAGGCGGAGGACACCCAGAACCAGTTGCCAGCCAATCGCAGGACACACAGAAACGAACAACCATTCGCACTCACACGCATACCTAGGGACAATTTGGAGTGTTCCATCAGCCTGCCATGCATGTTTTTGGAATGTGGGAGGAAAAACCGGAGTACCCGGAGAAAACCCACGCAGGCCCGGGGAGAACATGCAAACTCCACACAGGGAGGCCGGAGCTGGAATTGAACCCGGTACCCGTGCATTGTGAAGTCGACGTGCTAACCACTTGACTACCGGGCCGCCTATTTGGAGACATTGAGGTTTAAAAAAAGACAAAGTCAAAATGTAGTTGTAAAATATATAACATTTTATTTTAGTAATACAATTAGTGAATAATCAATAAAACATGAATATAAACTCCAGATTTAGTAACCAATGTTATGATAATTAATGCAACACATTTTATTGGATTCTTGACAATGTAAATGCTCAGAGAGAACAGAGTGAACTTTTTTTTTTTTTTACCCCTGTTTTATTGGGTCACAAATTTTCAAAAATGCATAAGCTGTTTCAATTATCACAGCTGAAGACACGTTGATACTCAATCTCAGTAAAGATATTTCTAAGGCAACCAGTACAATTTTTCCTGATATCCATTTTGTTTGACTGCGTTAAATATAGTTGTCACTCCACTCACTGACCATACCACAGTGAACGCGATATCATACACCTTCCACTCCAATACACAAAAACCTACAAACTTAGCTTTTTGTTTTAAAATGTAAATCATAATTCGAATAATTTGACCTAGTGATTGTCATTTTGTGTACAGTATGTAAAAAAATAATTTATTTAAACAGCTTCAACTATGAATTCTGAAACAGGAAAGTAAAATAAAAAAATAAAGGGAATATCCGGAATATCCACTTTTCATTAAACAGTGTAAGACACTCCTCTCCATTTCCCATGGAGGATTTAAGACCAAAATGTAACTAGAGCAAACAATTTCAAAACAGCACATTAAGTGACCTCTTAACTAATAACACTGTAAAATGTTTGTCGTTGTTTTGTTTCCTGGATATCTTCCAAAGCAGAGTGCCGTAAAATGAGTACAACAGTGGTCAGAAGCATTTCAGTGTAAAATTCCACTGTAATGTGTGCGCAACCTTTGAGTCCCTGAAGGTGGACGTGTCATGTGTCAGATTCCGGGCTTCCACTGCTGGAGGTGTAGGTGTGTAAAATTCCACTGAATGAGAGCTACCGTTTCATGATGCCACCTCGCCTTCTCTTCAGCTGACACTGAGTTTCACTTTGAGGAGCGTCAAAGCCAATCACGTTGAGGAAATGTTCCTCGGAAGACTAACAGGCCTGATCTGAAACAGTAGCCTGAAACGACACAGTCAGGATCATAAACACACCTTTGGTCCTAATGTAGAGCGAAGCAGTGAGACCGTTTCTATGGTATCGGTTGTTGTTTTTGTACAATAGACACTTAAATACGAGGCACTCCCCGCTCCCTCCCTGTAGGTGAGTAAACAACATTGAAATGTTTGAGGGGTAGCACTCGGTGTGTTTAAAAATTACCATCAAACAAATGGTTGCAAGCTTCACTCGCATGATTTCAGTCAGGGTTACATGTTTAGACCAGTCATTCCGCTGCAAAAAAAAAATTAAAAAATGCTTTGTATTGTTATGGTATGATGAAGATGGAAGGAAGTTCAACCAGCAAACAAGTCCAGTACACGCAAGGTTCTGACAGTGCATTCAAGAGTCAAATTTGAGATCAAATATTGTCGGCGAGATGCAAAAGTACCTTACTCAAGTAAGCGCGTTATCAGTTCAAAGATAAGACGGCAGTGAGATTTAAAAAAAAAAAAAATTCTATGTGACTTGAGCGACACGTTGGTCGATTGGTTAGTACATTGGCCTCACAGTCCGGAGGTACACGGTTCGATTCTGGCCTTCCTCTGTGGAGTTTGCATCTTCTTCCCGTGCCCGCGTGGGTTTTCTCCGGGTACTCCGGTTTCCTCCCACGTTCCAAAAACATAGATGCATGCAGGTTAATGGAACACCCTAATTGTCCCTAGGTGTGAGTCTGAGCGCAAATGGTTGTTCGTCTGTGTGTGCCCTGCGATTGGCTGGCAACTGGTTCAGGGTGTCCCCCGCCTAATGCCCCAAGACGGCTGGGATAGGCTCCAGTACACCGCGACCCTCGTGAGGAAAAGCAGATTAGAAAATGGATGGTTGGATGCATATGTGACTTAGTTGTTTCTTAAAAAGCACAGAAAAAAAATATGATGCCTTGCTGCTCAAACAGAATGAAAGGGTCGACATTCAGTCCCAGCCAGGGGGAAACCAAACATCAGCTGTTCCTGATCTAGGAACAGTTTTCCCAATATGTGCAACTGAAGCCAAGTGAAAAATGTCAGTGTGTTTCTGACCGGTAAACGTCATAGTTCTACACTAAATCCCTTCCAGGTCCAATTCAGCATCAACATCATAACACAACATGAAAAGTAATTCTCATTTTCCAAAAAGAAAATGCCATACTCTAAATGAGATCAAAAGGTCAATGCAAAGTCTCCTTCTTGCAGCAGGCTATTGGTCATTGTTTCCGCAGTGATTCCAGGGTTTGCCATGAAGATTCCTTTTGAGAAGCCTCTTCTTGGGAATCGCACCGAGGGATAAGGGCAGCGTGACGTTCGAAGGATTCTCCTTCCGAGAAACGATGCGATCTTTGATGGCGTCTTTAATCACCTACAGGAAGCAAAGTGGGGTGGGATTAGATTCAGCAATAGTATCGTCTCGACATGCCGACCTAGGAATGTATGAAGGCTTTGTGTGACCTGACTCACAATTGGAATATAAGTCTTCATAGAAACATTGTGGAGTGAACTGACCACAGTGTATCCTATTTTCTAGATTTTCTGATGCATTTCGATGTGCAATTGAATGAAAGCACAACTAGAGTGTCGTTTGTCTACTTATGACTGATGTTCATTTCAAGACATTACAATACAACGTAGACAAATCTTGTCAGTGTTAATCAAGTGCATTCAGAAGGTTTTATGTTTCCTTTTTTTTTTTTGTGTGTGTGTCAGTCAAGGCATATCTTTTTCGTTGTGTTTATTTTGGGATACTTTTACCCGTGTTTTTTATTATTTTTGTACTTTTGTTAATTTCATGTTTTTTCATGTTTTAGTTTTGTTCTCTTGGAAAAATAAATACATCTTGTTTTTGTTTGAACACATCCTTCTTCCCTGCAACTGGGTCCTCAGCCAAACGTAACACACACACTGGAATGCCCGCTTCATGTCACCAGAGGCACACAGCTCAAAAGGGGATTGTTGTAACTACATATTGCTCATACGAGTCCTACTAGCTCCATGCCTCTGGGAAATCTGACCACAGCTGAGTGCACCAACAGGTTGCTGGCTGAACAGGAGGTGGCCGACATAAGGATGGTGACAGTTTGGTATAAGACACAGAGGAAGCACTGCAGGAGTTTGTTTGTTAAAAAAAAAAAAAGTATACAGTAATCCCTCGTTTATTGCGGTTAATGGGGCCCAAAACCACCCGCGATAAACGAAAATCCGCGAAATAGCAACCCCCCCCATCCCCGTATAGGTACATGTAGATAATATTTATAAGGCCAAATTTAATGGTATACATGCATGTAGAAGTACATTTTGAAGTACCCGCGAGTCACATAGAGCAACATATACAGTACTGAACTACATGTATATGAAAAAAAAAGTTTTTTTTTAAAGTTTTTTTTTTTTTTAAATGAATATGTTTGAAAAAATCCGCAATGCACTGAAGCCGCGATAAACGAACCGTGAAATAGCGAGGGATCACTGTATTTCAATTTGAAAAGAATAGTTGGTTTTTGAGAGCATTTTGCCACAAGTTTTCTTTTCGAAATAACGTTAAGACACTACAGCAGCATTCACTCCACTAAATAAAAGGAACAGTCGTGGAAATGTTTGCAGTGTCTTCACACAGGCTGGAACAGAATAGGTCCCAGGCATCAGTTTCTTGATTGCACATCTGTCGAGTAGCAGCAGCCAGAGAGGCATCACTATTCACTTGGTCAGCTTTTCATTTCCAAAAGCAAGTTTTATCACTGTTTGGCATAGGGTTGTCAAAATGTTTACTTCTAACAGAAGCTTAAACGTCAAGTACACATCACAACTGTAGGGGGAGTGTGGGATTAGAAAAGGGTGAATCTCAAACGTTGCTTAAAATTAGGAAGTGCCAAGGGATTTGGAAGCGATCTGCACGGTCGTTGCGTCACATTTGACTCCTCACTCAGCTCGGAAGTGACTCACTCACAGTCAGAGAAAGTCAGGCTGCCCTCTCACAGTGATACAACTAGACTTGATAAAACTTGTAGTTACTGTAGAAAGTTTTATGTTGCACCATACTGTGGTGAATGTGATGATAATTGCATAGTGACAATGCAAAAATGCAAAGCATTCCCGGTGACCACACCTGCTTTCAGGAAGGCCATGCATAGCCATTTTGTACAAATAAATAAAGAGATAGATAAATAAATAAAGACAACAACATTTAGATTTGTAAGCCGGTTAAATATCAAACTGACCTCCAAGTTGTTGAGCGTGTTGAACTCCATGAGGTCGTGAAGTCGAGTGTAGGCCTCGTTGGAGTATTGAAAGTTGAATGTGGAAAATGGCGACTCAGGGTCATCAAAGATGTCAAAGTCTGCAAACTCCTTCTCCTTCTCAGTCTCTCTTGGAACTCCTACCGTCATATAATCAAAATGGCTTCGTCAGGAAAGATGAACTTTGAGCTCATCACAGAATTCAACAACACTATTATCCATCCATCCATCCATCCATCCATCCATTTTTGAATCCGCTTATCCTCACGAGGATCGCTGGCATGCCAGAGCCTATCCTAGTTGTCGACCAGCAGTAGGTGGGATAAACCCCTATCTGGTTGCCAGCCACTCACACTACTAAAATGCTTTAATGGAAATGTCGTGAAACAAATAAGTACATAAATATTCTAGAATACATCATGTATATAATTTCTTATTCTTGTATCGCTAAATAAGAAGAGCAAAAATATTAGAAACAAATCTCAATGTGATGCAGTGCAGGTCTGCAGCCGCAATCATGAAGACATTGTTAAATTTTTACCCTTCTGAGAGTGCAATCAGAACCAAGCATTATGATTGTATTGTAACGGCCGAATTTGTGACAAAGTTCTTGCAGAAGATCTCACTAGATCATAGGTGTCAAACTCAGGTCCTGGAGGGCCGCTGTCCTGCATGTTTTCCAAGTCTCCCTGTTGCAACACACCTGATTCAAATGAACAGGTTCAATGTCAGGCTTCCGCAGAGCTTGCTGATGATCTGATCATTTGAATCAGGTGTGTTGCAACAGGGAGACTTGGAAAACATGCAGGACAGCGGCCCTCCAGGACTTGAGTTTGACACCCCTGCACTAGATGGTGCAGGTATACTTAATGAAATGACAGACAACTGAGGGTATGTCCATAAATCCATTTTTGATTGCGCTTATTCTTATTAAAGCTGCAGATAAGCTGGAGTCTATTCCAGATAACTTTGGATGAGAGGCAGGGAACATCGCAGGATGACCACTAGCCCAATGACTCCCAACCTTTATTGAGCCAATGCATATATTTTAACTGCAAAACATTTAACGGCACACCGCCAAACAAACTTTTCACAAAAGAGAGGATTCACATGTCAATTATACACTTTCTGCAATCAATATGTTGCTGGCATAGATGGACGGACAAAGATAACTAAATATTTTTCTGACTAATTGCGTGAAAATTTGATATTTTCCCACGGCACCGTTTTAGAGCCCTCACAACACAATAATGCGCCCGGGCACACTGCTTGGGAATCACCACGCTAGTCAATCGGAGGACAAATATCAACAAAACAACCATGCATATCCGCATTTGGAGTTATGACAACTGATAGCCTTTATTTAACATAAACAGCATGTTTTGGGAATGTGGGATGATGTCTTAGTGCAGGATGAAAATCAATGTGAGATTTGATCCCTAAATCTCAAAATTGTGTGCTAACTAGGCCATGATGCTACACACTAAAGGGATAATGTTTCGTTTTGTTGTTTTAACAAACCAAAATGTTGATCCAGATCTCCTTTTACTCATTTTAAGCTACTTGTTGTAGGTATGTTGGTCATAAAGTCAAGAGTCGAAACTTGACATTTGAAAGACATAAGTTTAGTTGAATGTGGTTAGTGTGTTTGTCGAATACAGTAGTCGGAGGTTCTCGGTTGGAATCTCCCCGTACTTGCCGAGCTTTTCTCCGAGTACTCAAGCTTCCAAACACATTAGATTAATTTGGAGACTGAATGGTCCATAGGTGTGAACGTGAGTGCGAATGTTTATTTGTCTGTACATCCCTAGCGATCTATTGGACACCAGTTAAGCCTTGACACTGGTCAAGCTTAAAGTGCAGTGACTGGCAATTGATCCTAAACCAGCTTCACAAAAGTTAACAATGTAAACCCATTCACTAACAATTGCTGCCTAACATACATCCATGTGTCAAATAAATTTACGCATGACACATCGGCGACTTTTTTGAAGAAAATTCTCAGACTAAAAGTAAGATGCAGGAAAAAAATTGCAGTTGGGAAAATTGAAGTAACCAATCGGAAACTGATTCAGCATTCAGTCTGGATAGGGTGCGACTCTACAAACTGGAAGTCCTTTTATGGAATATGCCGTTGGTTAAAAAAAAAAAAAAAAAAAAACCTTACATAACTTAAAAAAAAAAAAAAAAAAAAAAAAAAAACCTTACATAACCTCCATAAACAGACTGCGGAAGTATGTGGGCACATGGCTGACTGAACATAAAGAGGCACTAGAGAAGCGATGAGACGAAGATGAGGTGTTAGGATGTCTTTGTGAGGATGTAAAATGATAAATGGCGTGTTTACACATAACTCTCCCCCTGCACTGACAGATTCCCTACCGGCACCTGGCTCCTCAAGGAACCCTCCTTCTCACAAACAGCTGCGGTTCCTGCCTGTGTGCACAGGCAATTCCAGACAGCAAAATGTATGTGGGTTTAAAGACACGTTATTTCCATTGATAACCGCGGCGACCCTGAGCAAACATATTGAAATAGTGAGCAATCGGGCACAACTAGCGAGAAATAATTATCTGTCCCCTAGAATTATCGCGTAACTTCAAGGAAGCCATGCCTCATGTGCCATTACGGTAACATGGCATAAAGGCGTGCAGTTAGAATGTTTTTTTTTCCTTGCACATATCCTGTGGAAAACCCGCCAAATGTATGCTCTTACCAGGTGCTTTGAACTTCCTGAAGTTGATATTCACCAGGACAAAGTGGATGACAGTTGGGCAGTGCTTTTCGCCTTTTTTGGGTTTGAACACGTAGCATTCCTTGAGGCCTTCTCGGTCGAAGACTTTTGGATCGATTTTCGGGAATGGAAGCTTGTTCATTCGAGCCCACTTTTCAGCCAGCAGGAGCTCCTGGGGTGTACATTTAAAATTGATGAGTAAGAATAAGAATAACAACAAGAAAACCTTTATTTGTCTCACAATGGAGAAGTTCGCAATTTACAGCAGCAAAATTGGAGGGAAGAAAGAAGAAAAAGAAAACATGAAATATTTGCATGCACAAAATAAATGTAAAAAAAAAAAGTGGTATTGTGTGTTAATTAGGGGTATAATGGTATGCCTCCCCAAAAAATATATACTTTAGTAATGATATAACATAACAAATTCTGCAACTGCTAGCGTGATATACTGCCAAAGGCATATCGTATATACGTGACAACAAATTTTTTTCTTGCCATTTTTTGTGAGGCCATTTTCATGTGATCACGTAGCGCAGATTTTTTTTCCCACTCCTCTCAGGAAAATTATGTTAAAAATGTGCTTACCGTGTCTGTTTTTAGATATGAAGTACAGTGGAATATCCTCTGTCGCCTCATTTTAAATTTTATGATTTTCATACAGTATTTCGATGTTTACACACACTCTTTGACCGTTTTGTGTTGCCCAACCTTAAATGAAGGGAGACGCATGGGAGCATTCCACTGGGATAAGCCAGCTGTTCATTGCCAGCAATGGTGTGGGAATCTCCGGTAGTCACAAAATAACAACAGGCAGACGGGGGTCGCACTGCAGAAATGTTTTTTGTGGCACACGAAACCGTTCCCTGTGCTTGTCTCAACTCAAAATGCTTCCCATTGCTCTTACTGGTCCATAAACCGTTCCGCATTGACACTCAGGCCATTCCATTGTAACAATGGAGAAAGTTACCTCCATTTTTGCCTGCTTTCTGAAGTCTTTAAAATGACGTCTTTAATTCTGAATACATTGAAAACATTTGAACACCTTTTTGTCCCTGGATTGCAGATCTTTCCAGTGACATTGGTCTTACTGGAAAAAAAAGATTTTAACTTTGTTGTCACGTACCTACATATAACACTACCCATGATGTGCGCAATCAAGCAGCTGAGCTGTTCAATATTTGTTTATGAGGTACAATAGCGATTCACTGGAGCACAAAATGCTTATCCTGTATGTTGCGGGTGGGAACTCATACATCTGAATGTACCGTTACACCCTTAATATGAACATTTTGGTGGAGTCAGACCTTAAACGGCGGGCTGGAGTCACTAGGTCGTGCAGAGAAATCAAAGGAAATGATGAGGTCGACACCACGTTGGGGCCGCAGGATGAGAGGGTAGGGAAGATTGTAGGTCAGTCCGCTGTCCACCACATGGATCTTCTTACTTTTCACATCCAAAGGCTCATAGATACGATCAAACTCATCCGGGTCTAAGAAGGTACAATTAATGCAAAGAACACTTGAATAAATGCCTTGTATAGGAATGTCAAACACTTAATAAACAACATGGCAACTTGACTAGGATGTCATTAATGTTGTTGAAAAGTGAAGCCACACAGTTCTCTCTTCTGTCCCTGGTTCTTGCATTGAAGTCTTTAGCTCCGAACTGATTTAACATTTTCCATTGTAAAAATGATAGTTGCAAAGGCCTCATTGATATTCTTGAACTTCTGTTTTTTAAACATGGTAAAAACATCAAAGGGCCAAGGACCACATGAGTAATCTGCTTGCATGTTCAAAAAAGAGCTCACCAGTGATGGGACATGATGAATTTGAAAGCATTTGAAACTGTTAACACTGGCAAAATTTAGAGAAATAAAGTGCTGCAGAATGTTATTCATGTTTCCAAACTATTATGAGAAATCATCCATTAATTATTATTAACTCATTCACTCCCAAAGACACATTTATATGTCTTTTCACACTCCACACGTTCAACCCCAGGTACTTATTTTTTTTTCAATTTTTCCAAGACTTAGGGTAAAAAAAACAAAAAAAAAAAGAAAAATGGGGTCTAGAATTGGCTGGTACTGAATGAGTTAAGAAACATGAGAGACGGAGTACACCCTGGACTGTAAACCTTACACAGGAAGGCCTGAGGGGAGATTTGAACTACTGTGAGAAGACATGCTAGCCACTATTTCACTGCCTCAATACTATACTACAGTACACTGAAAAAAAATAGGTTTGTGTCCTAATAATTTGACTGTATAGATTATAGTCAATGAAGATAAGAAACAAACAAAAATCATGATTTCCAATGTGGCTTCATCGGGTTTTAGGAATAAGATGAACCACAGCTTGCAGCTGTCTGGGATTTTAAACAAAACAAACATTGCTTACCTGTGACAGCGTCCACCTCTTCGTCTGGTGTAGGTGCATTGCAGACAAACCCACTGATCGGAGAGAAAGGGATGCTGGTGTTCAGGTTCAGACCCAACATGAAGTTATGCACCTGGGCAAAAAAGTGAAGCAAAGAGAAGGTGACATTTCAATTGGTAGACGGGCCTAATGACGATCATATTTTGATTTTGGTCAACCTTCCCGGCGCGACCCTCTCTGGTGTTGAACAAGGCCGAGTCACTGAAGAGCGACGTGAACATCCTTTGAACCCAGCTGGCTTGAGCGGTTCGATGATACTCCTCCTCTGCCTCTTGATTCTCGGAGCCACCTGAACACCATTATGTTTTCAACAGTCAATTTCGTTAGCACATCCAGAGCAGATATACTTGGAAATGCACTGACAAATGTTTTACATCAGTAAATTTATTCATGTTCTTTTAAGTTTTGCGTATTTCTTTTTACTTATTTCCCCCACCCTCCGGCTTCAAGTTTGAAAAAAAAAAGCAGGAAACATTTGAGTCTCCACCGTGCAGCAATGGGAAGTAATTTTCTGTCCCGATAGCTGATAAAAAAGTAATCTAGGAATTTGTTAAGGTTGTCATTATTTTCAACTAAATCCGACCATTATCTAAAAAGAAGGGCAAATGTGCTTTTATTGGCTTTTCAAAACCTTTTATCGTGAGTTGTGTAAACAAATGAAGCGAATGGAGTACTCCAAATGTTTTTCCAAAATCCCAGTTCGGTTAGAGATACTGTCATTACTTTTGGAGCACAGGCTGTACTTTTCTTTCTCATTTCCCTTCCCCTATTCATTATTCACTCAACATTTTTACCATGTCACATCATGAACACGTCATAAGAGAGGGAACAATGTTGCTCCACTGGACTTTGGCTTTTGCTTCTAATACATGCAAATGGAAAGTTTCCCGCAGATATGAAAAACACATGGTTGGGATTTCCACTTGGCTAGTTAGACTGTGTACGTCTTAATAAGTTAACAGACTCTGTTCAATGGTTCAAAACACAGCATCACAAGTTGTAGCTGACCTTTGTGGGGTTCATCCTCGTTGTCCATGCTGTCCTCTCCAACGATGTGCTGTGGTTTAATCTGTTCTGTAAAACAACATATGAAGCATTTGGAAGAGCCAACAACATTGTGGAGCAGTAAAGGCGCAAAATGAAGTTGGAATTATTGGAATTGGAAGTGTTAGTAGAAGAGGCAAGCAAACGCTCTTGTGCTGAAAAGAAATCAAGCACTCTGACCATGTTGGGGAAGACGGTTATCTCATAAAAGCAATGTTTAGCTTGATTGTAGTGCATGGCAATCGGCTGTCTATGTCCAACCTGAGTAGCATAGCTTTTCAAACTGGGAACAGCAAACCTGAGAAACTCCTGTGGGAGAGGCCATCACCAATTGAAGAGTGAAAAGTGTGTGGAAAAGGCCAACACGCAAGGAAATGCAGAATTGTAGGGAGTTTTGTCATGGCAAATAAAGCATGAGTCCTTCTTGTGACTGGCTCCAAATCAGCTTTTAGATCATTCAGAAGCTCCAAAACTGTATTGCTGAATACAAGTAAATGATACGTCGTGACAATCTTTGTTTCTGACACCTCAAAAATGTTAACCTGCTGCTGCCTATTTTGCCTGAACCTCCTTGTCATGGTCATTCACAGGGATTCGGTTTGCACCTGAAATGCCACTTTCAGAAGTAAAGATCCAAAATCAGTCATGGCAACTTTTGAGGTTTGATAAATCACATTGCGCATGCTTGCATATATCCCTGCAACAATCCACATAATGAGCTGTGCAGCAATTTGAGAGCAGACGACTTCCCGGGTGCATAGTTCAGTTTCATATTTGTTTGTGTGAGCATAAAGCTCGCACATGCAAATCTTTAGTAAATCGGGTCCTTATTGTTCATCACATCAACACTGTGCCCACAGGAATTGGCATTTCTCGGACAATTCTTTGTCACACCCAAAATCGACCAAAGCAGAAACATAATACAAGCCAAAAACAAATGCATTTGTAACAGGGTGGAGGAGGTTCCACGTTTGGAACAATCAATGTGTTGTGTCTGTACATGCAAATGTCATCCTTAACAAATGCATTCGACCGAAAAAAAAACATCAGGAAATTCCCTGGAAGACGATACCTACTAACTGTTATGGGAACAACTGGCATTGACTCCCACTATACACACAAACACAAACAAGGGCAACAGCAGGTGTGCGAATCGTAACATGAGACAACAAAACTTAGACAATGTAGTTACAAATTTAAATTGAGTAATTCATTCAGATGAAATTTGTCAACGAAATTGACTGGCATTCCAGTGTAATGCAATATTTGAGCCCACAGACTTTATTTGAGCAATATTATCTTTGTGTTTGCTTAAAAGCATCCTGCCACAGGGGATATGCATTTTGCATATTGCTGGCATTGGGCGGGATCCTTGTACCTCCAAAATCATGAGTTTTCAGGACACTCCAAAAACGTCACATTTGTTCAACCATTTAGATTGCCCCATCAAAGAGAAAATGCCATTGTCATCACTTTAGGATTGGTCATTAATTTGAAAAAATAACACCAACTCTGTGAAACCTTTAGAGTAGTACAGTATGTGAAAATGTGTCTCAACAATGCTTTGCTAAGCCCTGTGTTACATTTGTTGAATCAAAAAAAATAAAAAAAATAAAAAAATCAATGAAATACATTAGTACTTGTTGGACTAACTGAAGTGTGCTACAGAGTCTCAAAAAGAAGAATATCAGCCACGATCAAAAGAAAGTCACAAAAACCAAGTGACTGAAATCTATGAGTCTGGAAAAGTTTAGGAAGCCATTTCCATGGCTTTTACAGTTCAGCAATCCATGGTCAGAGCATTTATCCACAAATGGGGAAAACTGAACAGTGGTGAACCTTTCCAGTCGCGTTCAGCCAACCCAAATTACTCCAAGAGAGCTATGACAATCCAGGGGGTCACAAAAGCCGAATGACAGGAAAAGAATCACAGGGTTCACCAGCCTCAGTTGAGTTCAGCGGTCATGACTCAAAGACACTGTGCAAAAATGGGGCCATTTCAAGGTAAAAAAAAATCACTGCTGGCAAAAAAAAAAAAAGAACACAACGGCTTGTCTCAAACATTCCAAGAAATGTCTTGACGGCATCCAAGACTTTTGTGAGAAATATTCAATGGACAAGTAAGGCAAAAAGTGTGCAGCCTGATACATTCAATTGAAAATAACACTCCCAATTAATAAAAAGACAACAAAACATGATTCCAACAATGAAACACGTGGGGCAGTGTGATGTGTAGGGCTGCCGACCATCAGTTTGTGCCCTCAAGCTCAAGCGTACATACCAGGAAATCCAGCTCTGAATGGCTAAAAAAAACAAGTTCGGGGTAATGGGAAGCTGGAGCCTATCCAAGATGACTTTGGGTGACAGGCAGACTACACCCTGGATTAGTCCCCAGTCAATCACAGAGCACACAGACAACCATTCGCAGTCACATTCACAGCATCACTGAGTGGGAGCTGAATGCACATGGCATACACGGAAGTCCGATGAATTTAGTTTAAAATAAGATTAGATAAGATAAGAAAACCTTAATTGTCTCACAATGGAGAAATTCGCAATCTACAGCAGCAAAATTTGGAGGGGAGGAGGAAGAGAGAATGAAATCTTGGCATAAATACTGTTTTGCATACTGTCCCTTCAAGACAGCTCAATGTGCATGACACAGGTGTCAAACTCAAGGCCCGGAGGCCAGATCATGTTATGTGGCCCGTGAAAGCAAATCATGTGTGTCAACTTCCCTGACCCTTACTAAAATCTTGCCAGTTTGCAATAATTTTGTGACCTGTTTCCACGCACTTGAACAATAATTGAAAAAAAAAAAAGTGATTGATTTCAAAATTTGTTGTGTACAAGTAATAATACAATGAGATGATTAAACAGTTATTCGGTTTCACTGTTGTAACGGCCCTCAGAGGGAAGACATAACTCAAAAGTGGCCTGCGACTGATATGAATTTGATACCCCTGGTGTATGATGTAGCTCTGTGGGGAGTGCCCATGCGTCGTGTTTCAGGCAAGCGAGTTCATCAAGCTGTTAAACTGGAAGTGGCTGCCCGTAAGTAGATGCGCATGAATGTGAATAGTAAGTTAGCCAGTTAATGATCTTTAAATAAACTGCTCAACACCATAGTCACAGAAGCCCATCTCGGCAGTATTTCAAACCTCTGTCGTTCGCCTCTATCTCATTTTATCACACATGGCAAAAAAAAAAAAAAAGCTGTTTGCCCCTGACAAACGTCTCCACAGCTATACAATGCCGCAGATGTCCGTATGTGTGGAGGATTTTATTTCGTAGGGGTAATAACTGACTCTGAGTCTCGTCTTGGCCACAAAGCGCAGCATAATCCTGGTTAAAGTAAGCCATTTAAAACTTTAAAGTAAAACTTTTTGGCATTAGATTACAATAGATTAAGTTTGCTGAATGTGAGTGAGGCTTTGTGAAGCTCTTTGGGCACCCACTGTATGATGTACAGTACTGATATATAAGTGCACTGCATTTACCATTTTAATCATATTGGACTTTTCATCAGATGGACTGTGATGCGTATTTTATTTATTCAGATATTTTAGAGGGGGGAGGGAAATTTCAGGATGCAAATCGATTTGAATGCCACTTGCTGTAGTAAAAACGAATGGCGAGTGGAGATTTAGATAGATAGATAGAAAGATAAATCGACAGACAGACAGACAGAAATGTAAGTACTGAGAAGAAACCTGTGCGGATGATGGCCATCAGCACCACCGACACAGGGGTAAGTGCTTACCTAACTCCTCCTCCATAGTGGAGCCTCCAGCTGTGTCTTTGACCCCAATCACCCTGTTGAAAAGAATGGAGAAGGCGCTGCCCCACACACCTGCCATAGCCCAAACAGATTAAAACGAAAATTCAATTGACTTACTTTTAATTGGGATTGTAATGAGCAGAGCAATAGACAAAAGTGAATTCATCTCAGTCACTCTTTTCTCACCCATTAGAAAGTGAAGAGGGTTTTCTTCACATTTCTTGACAACTGTTCCCATAAAGAACTTGCTTCCAAACAAGTCAGGTGTCATGAAGGTGCCATACTTTGCCATTCCAATTTCATAAGGGCTGAACTCCACCCAGTCTGCAAGTGAAATTTCAGAGTAAGACCAAGGGTTATACACTGCAAATCAGCCAGTGTTTTAAGTTTGAGGACAGTGTTGAAAACACAATGTCACATTAACGCCATTCAGTAATAAAATACTGTGTGCAGTCCAGGATGTAACACTGATACAGTGTTAAAATGAGGTGTCACCTGGATTGGACCCTGATTGGTGAAACCACAACCTTACAGAATGATTGAAATTGGCTGGTTCGAGTCAAGACAATGTTCTTCGGCATAATTCTCCCTGATTGGCTGCCAGTCAATCAGAGAGCACATCGAGAAAAAGCCTTCAATGAACCTATTACGCATGTTTGTGGAATGTGGGGGCAACCTGAAGAAGTACCGGTATCAAAAGGCTTTTGTACTCCGGTGTCCTCCCACATTCCAAAAACCATGTCATTGAAACTGAAGACTTTGAATTGTCTGTAGGTGTGACTGTAAATGTACCTGGGGGGTTTTTCTGCTGTATATGTGCATAGTGACCAACAGGCAACCAGTCTAGGGTGTAGCTTCCCTCTTGCCCAAGATCTAGCTCACCCATGAAACTCAATCGGATAAATGTTTGAAATTAAGGATGTTGTTAATTTCCTCCATAATAGTGGGTAATGGCACTGTTTGCCATGGGAAGGCTTAATGGTAGGCTCTTTACAACAAGTAGGAGGTTGATATGGGCCTCGGGGCTAACCAAAAAGGGTTATCCCATACAGGTCACATGAAAGTTAACTGAGGCTTACAACACCGCTCGTCATTATGACAAACTGTATTTGTTCGGGCTTGTATGGCATACAGTAGATGAAACGGCAACAAGCACTCCAGGCATGTGACTAAAAATAGGCACACAAATGCACGCAAACATTCACTGACACAATTATTATACTAATTATTGATGTTGAAAATTGCTAATACTTAAGCCATCCTTTGACACCGAGGTATTTTCCTAAGCCAAGATTTTGTGTCAGAGGAAGAGTCGAGACAAACTAAAGAATGTGTGCTAGTCACGCTTTAGAAGAAAATTGTTTGAAGTTTGATAATGGGATACAAGAGCAGACGATCTGGAGCATACACTGACAACAAGACAAATCAGTTAATGACTTTAATCTGCTAGGTCCAAATAATGATGCCAGACAGTGGGAAAGTCCTCCAAAGATGTTTTGTGAACTCTGTCCTGAAGAATTTCATGTATTTATTATGCACAAAGAATAGTTCATGAACGTATATGTAGATACTCAGATAAAACGCGATAATGTACCTGCAAACATGAGCTCAGAAACATCTGGCTTGACATGTAGACAGGTGAAGAGAGGAAGAGGACATTGTGCCTGGTTTATTTTTTCCTGAATGTCACTTAACTTGATGTCCATCCTCTAAGGAGAAGAAAAACATTGACGGATATAGTGGGAGTCCATTATATACTGCAGGCGAAAATATGAAAATGAAATCAAACATGTTTCGTGCAACTCTTACCGCGGGTATGAGTGTTTCCCCGATGAGCATACCAAAGATATCGGTGAAAGTAACTGGCTGTCCAGAGGCTTTCTTGGTCCACAAAGCTTGGATGTAGTTGGTTACGTGTTGCGGCAGCAAAAGCCTCAATGGATTACTGCGGACTCTGTTCATTAGTTCCTGGTTTATCTCTTTCGGCCCCTTGTTTGGAAACTCAGGGTGCGAGTAGAGTGAAGACATGTACCTAGACACCCAAACAGAGTGGATTGAGCTGAGAGCCATTTATTTAAATGGAACAGATGATCGTTACAAAAGACATACTTTTGAGTAGACTTGTATTGTTAAAATCCATCACTGCAGTGAATGGAATGCAATATTCCAAATATGTTTAGCACCAAGAAACAGCGATGATTGGCCGCTCAGAGTGCGCCTTTGTTGGGCACAAGCGGCATCAGACATTACAAGGTGAGTTTGTGCAGATTAATTTCTGCCTATATAAAGAGGTTTTGTAAACTCACTGTTGTATCTGTTGTATCATTCATGGCTTTGAAAAAGGAGCTTGGAAAGATGACATAACACAAGCATTTGCTTTTTTTTAAACACGGCTGTCAACACAGAACGCAGCAGCCAGCACAGCACCAGGTACGTGCCATTGAAAATAATGACACTGAGATTTTAAAAAAGATATTAACTTTGCAATTGAAAATAACTTTGGGGTGCTTTTGTTTTGATATGAGCATGCAATGGTACAGTATATACAGATAACTTGACATGAGTGAAGCTTGGAATGAGCGCCAATTTGAACAAAGCAGTTTATGGAAACTCAAACAAGATGGCATTTTTTTTTTCCTCAGAAGTTGTCATTTTGGAGGCGTGGGGATTCTCCCAACAGTGAGCATATATAAAATATAAGTAAATACTTCCACTTTATAGTATACTACACACATTTATTGACTCTAACAAATTTTATGTTCAATTATACCAGTGACATCACACTAAGGTGTAGGGCATTTCAATCTTGGTGATAAAAAAGGAGAATTTCCAAGGGCAAGTATTTGATTACTAATTCCCCCAAATTGATCTTATTAAAAATGAATAACAGTTTACATGAAGTGAGGTTGCTCTTGGGACTACTTACCAGGTGGATCCGGAGAGACCAGCAATATAGGTGGTACAATCTAGAACTCCAGACTCAAACAGGGCCTTCATCACACCAGAGTAGCCAACCATGGCACGAAAGCCACCTCCAGAACCTGAGATAGCAATGACTGGTACCTGTCTCGCACAAATGAGAGCGTCATCAGTTTTGTCAGTCATATTAGCCTCACACTCTCTCATCCTTGAGTCTTATATCTTCCCGTCTCAGCCTCTACTACAAATCCTAATCATAGATGTCTACTACTGATATTATTATAATTATTATACAGGTAATTATAATTATTATTTTTATTATTATTATGAAAACCTGATTTGGAATCTTCACAAAAAAATCATTCAAAATCGTTGACGTGCATCTCTGATTAAAAAAATGTAAAAATGTGTTGACCAGTGATTGTTGAAGTTTCTTCAGATATCTTTCACTATTTCCCAATGGTGTATTGTTGCTTCTTGTGTCGGTGTGCGTTTATGTCATTGGCAGATGTTTGAAAATTCAGGGAGTATTCTGGGAAACTGTAAAAAGATGTCACATTCTGACGTGTTAAAACTGAAGACAGTGGCTGGTTATCTCATTCCTCAAGAACTTCCTGTACATGGTCAACATGACAAGGCCTAGCTGCAGATTACAAGCACCCTCAAGGGCATCACATAAAATACGCACGAGTGAAAAAAAAAAAAAAGAAACTTTGTACAAGGAACGGGAAGAGAATGTTTAACACTTTCTGCAGGGTTTTGATCTGAGAATCAGCAATTAATAAACTGGGATTGGATTTAATTTTGGTGCATTATGTAAATGAATTTAATCTGCAAAATGGTGATGCATGGCTTGGTAAATGTTATTCTAGCGGTGCAAATTGTGATGGAACGGGCACATTCTAAATCGAGCAAGGGCATGCAGCAGCCTCCGTGCAACTTCACACTCATTTAGTGTACATTTTTAAAAATACATATGATATCGTTTTTATGTTGTTATGACATAGTGCTAGAGCGTTTGCACAACAAAAAGATTGACGGCCGCTCTGAATTTGGTCTAGTAAGTACTAAGACATATATTTTCCGCAGAGGATGTTTAGATCGCCGTTTGTATGTTTATTAACAGTCTTACACATTATTTACACAAGTGATTTTAACGTTTCTGTGAGGGCCGAGCATGTAAGGAAACGTTACATTTTGGCAAAAATCTGAAAAGAAAATGTAAAATCCAAATACAGCAATTTTGCGTTTTTTTTAGTCCTAGATGAAACTAATATTTGCATCCCCTGGGTCTAAAAATGTTATTGTCCCGCCAAATTAAATCACCATCTGTCTCACTTACGATTGTGTTACTGAGTTAGGCTTGGTTTTTATATTTTGATTGAATGTAGGTTGTGTTTTAATGACATCATTATTTCTCTCACATTATCTACCTGCTAACCGCACACCGTGGCTTCAGACTAAAGGGAATTCATGACTATCTACTGCCTCATTCTTGCCAGAGTAAATGCTACTCCTTGAAAGTGCTGCTACGATCACTACAATGAGCCAAAGAAACAAAAATACTCTTTCTGTCACTGCATCACACCACACACAGGTATCAAACTGTATGTGGAAATCTCATGCACACCGATGTTCCCTTGGAGAGACTCGTAGTATTTATCTTAAGACATCCCACACTCATGCCCACCTCTTCCGGTGAGCTGGGAAGGAATCGGGGCTTCTCCATGTCTAGTAGCTTCTTGATGCCCAGCATCACCCTTTCTCTGCGCGTCTGTCGGAACTGTTTCTCATTGTCACACAGGGCCAGGCTGAACCGTAGATCCAACTTGGTGCTGGAGGCACAGAGACGTTGATTTTACTCAAACTAAAGAGGATGTTGTGGTGAGGTGAACCTCTTTATTCATTCACCTTTCCAATAACGGCTAACTACGATGATAACTACAATGAATACAACTGAGGTTTATGCTAAATAAGATAAGATAAGATAAGATAAGATAAGATATCCTTTATTTGTCCCACACTGGGGAAATTTACAGTCTACAGCAGCAAGATTGTGGGTAGAAAGAAGAAAGAATGACGTACCATATCTCCAGGAACAGCTCTAAGTAGACCTTGGTTGCCTATCAGAAAAATGACAAGGGGCACTCAAGACATGCAATTTCGATTGCAAGTTTTGTTTAAATGGCAATGAAACAATGCTTGCAGAGAAGCTCAACGTGTCAGTGTGATGCGCTGTGGCTCACTTTGCCAATGAGAAAGGTCTCCTTCTGCCTGTGGCCCACTTTGAGGTTGGAGATATCAAAAGAAGCAGTCCCGAGGGTTTCATCCATCACATAATTGGCATCCATTAATGTAACCTGAGTAAAATCAACAGTACGCAGTTCAATGACCGATAAGTTATATTGGGATGGGTTAAGGCTCCCATAGTTTACACCCTGAGGTTTATCATGTGTATGTTTATAATATATATATACTGAAAAAAAACAAATAAAGAGAACACAAACAGCAAAATGTAACTCCAAGTGTTCCCTTTTTTTTTTTGAACAGTTGTTACAATCGTGTTGATCTTCATCCTATTATCTCCCACCAACAAAGTTGTTTGAGATAAAACAAGACAAAACCAAACCTCAAGGATGTTCTGCAGGTTGGGGTCTAATATGAAGTGAAACGTCTCATCCCATTTTGGATTGATGTCGTTGTCTATGTGTTTGGTCTTCTTCCTGCTTTCTGGGGCTGTCGGGATGAACAGCTCCACATATGGGTCTGGTGTGTCCACTGCAGACAAAAAAAAAGAAAAAAAAAAGAATCAGCTGTTTTTTTTTGTTAGTTTGTTTTTTTTTCTTTGATTTACTTTGTCTTGGTTGAACAGCTTCTACAAAAAAAGATGTACAACACCCCCAAAGGTTGATGCCACAGCTGGTGTAAATTAACAGCAATGGTGTTTTTTTTTATCGTTTGTTATGTTTATGTCGTATTAATACTCCAGCATGTGCAAAATATTTAACCAAAGACTTCATCACAGCACATCATGGTGCTCGATAGTCTCTTCTTGTTTTTATGACGGCTGCTCCAAAATGTACTAGGTACTGTATCTACTGTATCTGAATAAGTTGCAGAATGAGTGTTATTTCATGTAAACAGACAGCATACTCACACAAGTCCCCAAGTGCTCCCTTCGTGACGCTCTCGGCTCGAACGACTGTCACTGTGAACTTGTGGGAAAATTGTTGTTCCACCTGAAATACAGCATCATTGTCGTTTTAACGTCATCACCTTTGACGAGTGGAAAATCTTCGGGAAAAGGAGTGATTTACAAAAAGTTTGTAAATCAGGTTGATATTTACTGCCTTTCTGTGTTTCCGCTTCCAGTAGTAGCATAAAACAAAGGAAATGACTAATATAAAAATAACACAGTATGGGCTTCTCTCCTTCGGCTGCTGCCCCCATGATCCAACCCCAGATAAAGTGAATATGATGAATGAAAAATAATTGATGACTTAATTCACTTTTCTTTGATTAAAAAGTTGCCTTTACAGGTCATTAAGATTTATTTCTAAAATATGGTCTGGCGTCAAGAACTGACATTTAGAATGACAATTAGAGAGAAGAGGAACATAACATAGCATTAGGGGTGGCACGGTGTGTCGGTGATTATGTAGTGATACACTCGCCGGACTTGTGTGGGCAGCGTGGGATCGGTTCCCACTCAGTGCTATAAGTTATCTTATCGAATTGACTGAGACGCTATGAAACAATACGCACAATTATATTAGATGCCATGGTATCGTGTCAGTGGTGTAAGCCTTTATCAGGATGGGAGTTCAGGAGAAAAACATCTCAGTCATCAGCCCACACCTTGAGAGCCTGTAAAAAAAACAAAACAAAAAAAAAAAAACATCAGTCAGTGTCTTCATACAAACTATGACAGTTTGACCAAGACTTAAGATTTGACATTTGGACCCACTTCAGAGCAGCTGAAACACATCTGATGTTATTTTAATATTTATATCTGTGTTATGTTTGTTCATGCATGTGTTCTTGCGTGAGTTTGTGCGTGTGTGTGTGTGTTTGTGTGTGCGTGTGTGTGTGTGCAATTGTGTAATTAAAGTAGCGTAGCTCATCCATTTTTTTTTCTCATTTGTTCAGCAAAGAGTGCAATCAGTGATGAGCCTGGGAGCACGTAGGGAAACTCTGTGATCATCCAACTCGTCACGTAGTTTGCCTCACTGGTCCAAATTCTAGTGCCAGCTCGCCCTGGCCTTGTTCTGAAGCATACAATGGTCGCATGCAGGGCTGTGTGTGTGTGTGTGTGTGTGTGTGTGTGTGTGTGTGTGTGCGTGTGCGTGTGCGTGTGTGTGTGTGTGTGTGTGTGTGTGCGTGTGTGCGCGTGTAGCACCCTGGATTAACATTTATCTGTCCACTACATTACATTTATACTTGGATCACTTCAATATTTACAGTAGTATTTAAAGTCTTGAAAATTGACATTATGATGATGATGATGTTGATGATGATGATGATGATGATGATTAAAGTTTTTCTTCTCATTGATTTGGTAAAACTAAATATTTGGGACATGTCATCACAGATCAAATGTCTAATAAGGATGACATATAGGCAACGTGAGAAGTTATATAAGATAAAATAAGAAAACTTTATTCGTCTCACAATGGAGATGTGCAGAAGATAACGCATTTTCACTGGTGCTGAGATGCTCAAATAATGTCAAGATAAATATGTTTAGAATATCTATACTCACAAAAAGTTAGGGATATTTGGCTTTTGGCTGAAATTTCAGAATGAGACTAAAATGCATTAGAACCTTTACAGGTGAACGTAACATGACGTTCTCTAAGCTTTTGAATGCACATGTCCAACTGCTCAATGTTTCAGTACAAGTTGCTGTCCTCCAATGAGGAGCTTCACGGCAAAATACTGTACACAACAGGCGTTTGATCCTTGAGTCGACCAATAAATGTCTAGATTCAATTAGAGCTGGTGTTTAAACAGTCGTCCTCATCATGCTGTTCACATTTTGACATCATGAGACCAATATGACACCTAAAAATCTATCAACTGTACCTTGCCATTGTCATGCTTCAAACAGGACGTTTTCAGACTCAATTCTATGCACGTTTAAGGGAGATGAGAGGCACCCAAGTGTCACGTCAGACCATTCAAAACCGTTTACATCAGTGTGGTCTACGTGCTAGACAACCTGAAAGGGTGTCTGGCCACACCGCCAGGCACAGGCGTCATCATCTTGCATGGGCAAGGGAGGATTCACGCTGGAGGAGGAATCAGTGGGCCTAAGTGCTGTTCTCTGATGAAAGTCGATTCACGAGTGGAAATTATGTCCGCCAATGATGTTGGAGACGTCAAGAAGAGCGTTACGCATTACCCACTGTTATCACCAGATGAGCTTTTGGTGGTGGGGGTATTACAGTGTGGGCAGGTGTGTCCAGTCGATACAGGACTGCCCTACACTTTGTGACAAGACCATACTATGCGAATAACATTATTAATCCAATGACTGTGCCCCTGCATCAACAACACGGGCCTAATTTCATCTTCATGGAACGACAATGCTCCAGCTCATCAAGTCTGCATCATCAAGGAACGGCTGTTGGAGACTGGTTTACCTAAAATGGAATGACCTGCACTTTGTCCAGACCTGAATCCTATTGAAAACCTGTGGGATCAGTTGTCAAACTGTAATTGATGCTGAAGGGCACCTGATGAGTTATTGAGACATTGAAATTTGTTGTTGTGGTGTACCCACCATTGTTAACTTTTGTTTCAATTAGTTTTTTGACATGAGGACATCACCAGTACATCCATCTACTTAAATGTTCTAGTTTGATGATATGATATCACTTAGCGTGAACTTTTTACATTTTCCATAAATTTTCACCTGACAGCCAGGTATCCCTAACTTTTTGTGAGCAGTATATTTTACTCATCTGTATACTATGCCCTTGTGGATAAAGCTTGGATACAAATTTCGTACTTCAACCACTGATCATTTCCCAAAAGCCAGGGGTAGAGTTAATGATCTTTTTTGTTCACGCTTTCTGCAGGCCACTCTAACATATTCCACCTAATTCTTATTTTCCTGGACAGGTCATAAAATGTAAGCCTATTTACATAGTAATAAAATATGCCAGCAGTGGATATGGTTCATATTTACAAAGGTAAAAAGCTTTTTCCACGAATCCACACATCCATGAGCAACGACGTGCATGAAGCTTCTCATCTTAAGCCATCTGCGCTCTTAAAACAGATAACTACAATAAAAAAAAGTTGAATATATTAGGCTGTTTTTAAGTTACTGTGTCGCCTCTGGTTTCCTCGTTACCTAACTGCGTAAACATTGTGTTCCAGCCGCAAAATCCACTGTTACCGTGCGTCTCAGTAATGGTGAAACGTTCAACGCGCTTGAGAGAAAATAAGTTAGACATACCTTAAAGAAGATGTAATGTTTCAACTCACAAATCCTGAAAAAAGAAACGTCGTGCCAATCGAGCGAATATGATTCCACCACAGTCGCGGAGGGAGGAGGCGCCTCGCTTCACTTTGTGGCCAGTTGCCGGAGAAGCAGTGTTTAGTTGAATGGGCGCGAAACTTAAGCTCTTGTTAGCACCCCAGAAAACATTGATCGTAAAAATGATAAGATATCTCACTCAACATGAGACAATAAGGCGAGTTTCGGCAGAGGAAGCGAGGAGCTCCGCTCCAATTGCGCACAGCGCGTCCTCGCTGCTGCATCCACTTGGGGGCGCGATTCACTCTGCTGCCAAAATCAATCAATTCAGTATTGTACTTCAAATACCGAATCAGGTGACCCCTTGACGGTTATCACTCCACAATTGTGTTTTTTTTTTTTTTTACTTTTCCACGACATGGAAGTGTCAAACATATCCAATAAAGATGTTTTCTCCTGCGAAAGTTCGATCAAAGTTGTCCACAAACTTTAACAAAATTAAATCACGAGACCCTCCATTTAATGGTAGTAATACAAAAAAAATGTCAAGAAAATAGCTTACGTTATTTAGAAAAAACAAGAAAAACGAGTATCCTAGTTATTCTTGTCAACAATTCATTAGGGGTGAGGGGGTCCTCAACATCCGTTAGATGACTCAACGTGAAAACCAGATCAATAGAGCGTGTAAGGGAAAAGTATGACTTCGACGTCTGTGTTTGTGTGTGAGAGCTGCGTGAGACCTCAAATGACGTCACCCGCAAGATATAAAGGTGCTCCCGTGGGCAGGATGGGACGTTCAAACGTTCAACTCTCAGATAGGAAGAGCAGCGTGGAGGTGGGGAGCAGTGCAGCAGGGAAGCAAAAAAAAAAAGTTCACGCATAGTCTTTGGAGTATGAACAAGTCCACTTTAACGCTTCTCCTCTTGTTTCTTGGTTGTCTTGTTTGTGAGGGAGGTAAGTCACACATGTCTAAACGGTTGAAAGCATTTAGTGTGTTGCTGTGGATTTTATGAATGACTTTTCCTCGTGTTGTTTATCAGGTAACCTTTGCTGCTCAGAGCCATGCCAGAACAGAGGTGTTTGCACAGCCCTCGGATCTGACGCTTATGAATGTGACTGCACGCGTACTGGCTATTACGGCCCAAACTGCACAACACGTGAGTACATAATCTACTTGGAGTTATCAAAGAACAGTATTTTATTTTCCGAGTGAGTAACGTTTCAATTGAATTTCTCCAGCTGAATTTCTCACCCGGATAAAAGTGCTCTTGAAGCCCACACCCAACACAGTCCACTATCTTCTCACCCACTTCAAGGGCTTCTGGAACATCATCAACAACATCTCGTTTCTCAGAAATGCCATCATGAAATATGTGCTAACATGTAAGTCTATTGAGAAGAGCACAAGGTCAGAAGACATAATAGAATAACACTAATAGCCATTTTCTTTTCTAGCTCGCTCCCACATGATTGACAGCCCCCCAACCTACAATGCAGATTATCATTACAAAAGCTGGGAAGCATATTCCAACCTTTCCTACTACACGAGAGCCCTCCCTCCAGTGCAACAGGATTGCCCAACACCGATGGGAGTCGTAGGTGAGTGTTCTTTCTCTGCCTCCAAACCTGTTTTCTTAGATTCCTGAATAGTCAGTAAGGGGTGGCTGAGTCTCATTGCATCAGAGGAAGTAATCTTGTAAAATGGGAATTCGTCTGTCTTGGCAGGCTTTTGATGGGGGTGGATACTAAAAAAAAAAAAAAAAAAAAGGCCAAGTGAGGTTCTTTCGACAAGCTTAAGTTGTAGGTCAGCCTCAAGTGTGGCTGTCCTTGCTCATTTTCAAGTCGTCTTGTCTGCATGGTCTCATTTAATTCAATACATCCATTTACCTAAATGTTGATGCACACTGCTAAAAACACTTCAACACCATCAAGTGATGATTATAATCTTCTGTTAACTGACTTGGTCCCAATTGTTCATGCAGGTAAAAAGGAGCTTCCTGATGTGAAGCTGCTTGCAGAGAAGCTACTGATGAGGAGGAAATTCATCCCTGACCCACAGGGCACCAGCCTTATGTTTGCATTTTTTGCACAGCACTTTACACACCAGTTCTTTAAATCGGACATGAAAAGAGGTCCTGCCTTCACAGTGGCAAAAGGGCATGGGGTAAGAAGTGTTTTCAGTTGTCTCAGGGCTGAGTTTATTTACATTTCACTATATATTCATATCGTGATTGTATTTTAATATCAACTTTATTTTCAGGTGGACCTCAGTCACGTTTATGGAGACAGCCTGGAGAAGCAACACAAACTGAGGCTCTTCAAAGACGGCAAACTTAGATATCAGGTACATGTGGAGAGAGAGCGCGTCACCCTATCATTTCTTTCAGATCACACAAATGTCTCACATTTACCTACATGTAATTGCAGATGCTGGATGGGGAGATGTACCCTCCGACAGTAAAAGATGTAGGCGTTGATATGCACTACCCCCCTCACGTCCCTCACTCTCATCGCTTTGCTGTGGGCCATGAGGCTTTTGGCCTGGTCCCTGGTCTCATGATGTATGCCACCATTTGGCTCCGGGAACACAATCGAGTGTGCAATGTCTTGAAGCAAGTCCATCCTTATTGGGATGACGAAAGACTCTTTCAGACTTCGCGACTCATTCTGATTGGTGAGTTGACGGGATAAACTGTTGTAATGTCGTTTTAATGGTACACCATTCAGGGGGATGAGAGAGACAACGCATTCAATTGTTGGTTTTACTTACCTCTAGGAAGTTTTGAAAAGTGGAAGCTATACATTCGATTGCATTAATCACACACTGGAGCTTTTAACCTTCCCGTGATGAAACCAGAATTACTTCACAAAGGGGAAATGTTCACTTTTCAGAGTTCCATTGTTGCCTCAATTTGCTAGTTTACTTCAAGAAATACTGAGTCGATTATTTGCCCAACAGGGGAAACCATCAAGATTGTGATTGAGGACTACGTCCAGCACCTGAGTGGCTATAACTTCAAGCTAAAATTTGATCCTGAGCTGCTCTTCAGCCAGCGTTTCCAGTACCAGAACCGCATTGCATCTGAGTTCAACACCTTATACCACTGGCACCCACTGATGCCCGACTCCTTCCACATCGAGGAGAAAAACTACAACTACAAAGAGTTTGTCTTCAACACCTCTGTAGTGACTGAGCACGGCATTGCCAGCCTGGTGGAGTCCTTCAGCAAGCAGATAGCTGGGCGGGTACGATTATGCACTTTTTTTTTCGCAACAATTACATCAAGATTGACAGTGATGATATTTAATGCATAACTGCTTTTCTTTTACTGTTTTTTTAGGTTGCTGGTGGTCGGAATGTCCCAGGACCGATTATGTATGTGGCTATTAAGTCCATAGAGGCCAGCAGACAAATGCGTTACCAGCCTTTGAACGCCTACAGGAAAAGGTTCTCTATGGCTCCGTACAAGTCTTTTGAAGATTTGACAGGTGAGGTTATCCTTCGCACGAGTACTTTTGGTACAGTTTGTAGTAGCCATGAGTCTAACTGCTAAAGCAACAGGAAGTTTAAGAAATGTTATTGCTGCATAGTTCGAAGAAAATACTACAGGCTTGCCTCATCTTGGAAAGCTTAGAAATGTACAGTATTTTCACCAGTTTCTAGCCTAGATGTTCATCTGTTCATTTGAGAGTGTGTAAAGAGATTTTCATCCCAGTGAACAAAATGTAAAGAAAAAGTCACGTGTTCTTGCTTTAGAGTGAAAAGTTTAGAACAGAAGGAAAACTCTAAAAAAGTATAGGAGTAAATCAAGCATATGTGGACAATGGCAAGGCACACGTCGACAAATAGCCATTCACTCTCAGATTCACACCATTGGCCAGTTTCGTTTCCCCATTTAACCTAACAGGCATGTTTTAGGAATGTGGCAGGAAGGTAACCAGAGAAAACTTTGAAGCAGACAGGCTCACCACATGCCATGCTATGCTACCTAGATTTAGCGCCACCCCCCTTTCTGTAAATATATCCAGTTTAAAAATACGGCAGATAATCTTACGTAAACCAGACTGATGAAAATTAAAAGCACATATTTGCTCCTTCCTCCGGCTTCAGGTGAAAAAGAAATGGCAGCAGTGCTTGAAGAGATGTATGGAGATATTGATGCCGTAGAGCTCTACCCAGGCCTACTTGTGGAAAAACCCAGACCCAATGCCATCTTTGGGGAGACCATGGTGGAGATGGGAGCCCCTTTCTCACTCAAAGGCTTGATGGGAAACCCCATCTGCTCTCCAGAATACTGGAAGCCCAGCACGTTTGGAGGCAGTGTAGGATTTGACATTGTCAATACAGCATCTCTGCAGAAGCTTGTGTGCAATAATGTGCAGGGGCCTTGTCCAGTGGCATCATTTCACGTGCCTGACATCGATGATACAGGCTCCACCGTCATCAACTCCAGCACATCCCCCTCACGCAGTGGTGACATGAACCCGACAGTCATTTTGAAAAAAAGGACTAGTGAGCTCTAAAGGGTTTTTGTATGACATAGAACTATTTATTTATTTATTTTTCAACATTATTTATACTATTTATAATAGAAGACATTTTCTGGAAGCAGACTTTTTAATGGCATTTTCTATATTGTTGTACGTCTATGTTTATTTATTAAAGGAGCGTGTATAAATTATTGTAAAATGAAAGACCTCAAGGACTGCAACCTGATACTTGAAAGCTAGTTTACAATTCCATCGTAGTGTAAGTTTTTTTGTTTGTTTGTTTTTTTTGCCGTGTTTTAAGACGGAGAGCTGCTTGTCTTCCACTTGTGATCATGTATTGTTTTTCTGTTTTACTGTCACATAATACATGTTACTTCATAAGATCTGGACCACTACGATAGACAGTAAACTAGTGGCACTTTAATGGTAACATTCACAGTGGCTCACATGATTGTGATAAGTGTAAAGTATTTTCTGGTCATTAAATTATATTTCTGATCCACCCATGTTTGTTATTTTGATTTTCATTTAATATTGATAATAATTAGATTGGTATTTTCCCTTCCTGATGATGTCATATATCTCTTTTGAGGAGTATTGTTCCACTCCTCTTCCGCATGTTGCTTCACAATGCACATCACTCTTTTTAAAGGCACCGCAATGGCATTTGAACTGGGTTGAGGTCTGTTCTTTGATTCATTTCACTCAAACATTGTGGATTTGTTCAAGTGCTTGTGATGATTGTGCTATTCATGATGCAGTTTCAGGAAAACTGTTGAGGTTAGTCAGCAAGGTGCCATGGTCC